TAACTAGCCAAGGAGAAAAGGAAGAACATTCCAGACAGAGGGAACAGCATGTGTAAAGGTTCAGTGACAAAAGGGAACATGGCTAGAGTGGCGAAGGTGGGTGAAGGGAGACTTGGGCTGGACAAATGTGAGAGACATCTGGGAGGTCAAATAGACAGGACTTGGCAATTGCAGTTAGAAATGCTTTTAGCTGGAAGAACAGACAACCTGACCAACCGTGGCTTAAACACATAGGGGTGGTGTGTGTGTTTCCTCACATAATAAAAAGTCTGGAGGTAGAGGAGATTGGTTTAGCAGCTCAATGATGCCACGGCCAGCATAAGACAATTTTTACTCACAGCTGAGTCCAGTTTTTTGCCTCAAAAAGTAGGAAGAATGAGAAAAGGGGCAAAATTCATGACAATTTTCTTTTTGTTTTTGTTAGAACAACTCAGCAAAATAAAATTCCGGTTTATTGTTAAACAACATTATTTCACACATACATCACACAGGCCAAAAAAAGAAAGTTACTGAGGCCAGGCGCGGTGGCTCACGCCTGTAATCCTAGCACTCCGGGAGGCCGAGGCGGGCGTATTGTTTGAGCTCAGGAGTTCGAAACCAGCCTGAGCAAGAGTGAGACCCCCGTCTCTACTAAAAATAGAAAGAAATTAATCGGACAACTAAAAATACATAGAAAAAATTAGCCAGGCATGGTGGCGCATGCCTGTAGTCCCAGCTACTCGGGAGGCTGAGGCAGAAGGATTGCTTGAGCCCAGGAGTTTGAGGTTGTGTGAGGTATGATGATGCCACGGCACTCTAGCCTGGGCAACAAAGCGAGACTGTGTCTGAAAAAAAAAAAAAAAGAAAGTTACTGGAATGCTCCAAATAAGATTGTTTGTTGTCGTTTTTGTTTTTTTTTAAAGTTTTTCCTTTTTTTTCACCTTTGAGATTCTAATGAACATGATCACACCACAAGTAAAGTCAGAAGCAGGGCAGAGAGAGCCAGTGAGGTGGAGGGCACCTGTAGTCCCAGCTACTCAGGAGGCTGAGGCGTTGAGGCCAGGAGTTCCAGGTGGCAGTGCCCTAGAATGGGGCCTATGACAGCCTATGACCACGCAGTGCACTATGATGGCACCTGCCAGGAGCCACTGCACTCTAGCCTGGGGACCCTGTCTCTAAAAAAAAACAATAAAGTAGGCAGGTAGGGCAGAGAATGCTCTAAAGGCTGGGTTTGGACATCTGAGATCATTAAAAATGGCTGACCCCCAGCCAGGCGCGGTGGCTCACACCTGTAATCCTAGCACTCTGGGAGGCCGAGGCGGGCGGATTGTTTGAGCTCAGGAGTTCGAGATCAGCTGAGAAAGAGCAAGACCCCGTCTCTACTAAAAAATAGGAAGAAATTAGCCAAACAACTAAAAATATATAGAAAAAAAATTAGCTGGGCATGGTGGTGCATGCCTGTAGTCCCAGCTATTTGGGAGGCTGAGGCAGAAGATCTCCTGAGCCCAGGAGTTTGAGGTTGCTGTGAGCTAGGCTGATGCTACGGCACTTCAGCTCAGGCAACTGAGTGAGACTCTGTCTCAAAAAAAAAATTGTAAAAAAAAAAAAAAATGGCTGACCCCTAATAATATGTACAAAAATATAAAATACAAAGAAAAAATAAAAACATATTTTCCTTTTAAAAATACTTTTAAGAAAAAAATGCAGGCCAGGCGCAGTGGCTCAAGCCTGTAAGCCTAGCACTCTGGGAAGCCGCGGCAGGTGGATCGCTTAAGGTCAGGAGTTCGAGACCAGCCTGAACGAGAGTGAGACCCCCGGTCTTTACTAAAAAAAAAAATAGAAATAAATGATCTGGAAAACTAAAAATATATATATAGAGAGAGAGAGAGAGAAAAAAAAAAATGCAGGGCCTTAGAAGTATTGGTTGTTTCTTCCTCCCCTGTTGCAAGTTCACGTTGTGGTCTTGGAAGGGACCAGGCCTCTCCACTCCAAGGTGACCCTGTTTAGATTCTGAGAGGGGAAGTGGAGGGTGAATAGTCAAGGAAGCCCTTTTTTTTTTTTTTTAAGTTTAGTTTTTCCTTTTTTGCTATCTAGTCATCCTCATCAGTCTTCTACTTCTTGGTGTCAACATTGTCCTTCTCATCATCTTCAGCTGCTTCAGCCTGCTCATCTTCATCTCCATCCTCCTCTTCACCATCTTCGCCTCCCTCATTGTCAGTGTCCTGCTCCCCATTTTTCTCACGTGTTCCCATTAGCAGGGGCGTCCTTTCCATTCTCCATCTCCTCCAAAACTTCTTCCTTCTCCTTTAAGTCCCCGGGGCAGATCTGGGAGCTGGTGTCCACCGTAGCATCAGACATGGTGGAGGCATGCCACTGATCCCATGGAGAGGATTTAAAGAAACCGAGGGCCGGGTGTGGTGGCTCACGCCTGTAATCCTAGCACTCTGGGAGGCCGAGGCGGGAGGATAGCTTGAGCTCAGGAGTTTGAGACCAGCCTGAGCAAGAGTGAGACCCCATCTCTACTAAAAATGGAAAAATTAGCCAGACATCGTGGCATGTACTTCTAGTCACAGCTACTCGTGAGGCTAAGGCAGGAGGATTGCTTGAGTCCAGGAGTCTGAGGTTGCTGAGAACTAGGCTGATGCCACAGCACTCTACTCAGGGCAACAGTGAGACTCTGTCTCAAAAAAAAAAAAACCTGAGCATTCGAGGACTCTGGTGATAAAGCTGCCAGAGTCTGCAGTGGCAGAGCTGGACCCAGAACTATGCAAAGATGGCTTTGCAGAGCAGCCAGTCATGACAACTCTCTTATCAGGAAAGGAAAACCTTTTCCAAAACCCCCCCAGCAGACTTCTGCTTAAGACTTACTAGACAAAACTGCATCATCAGACCACTCCTAGCTGCTAGGGAAGCTGTAAAATCAACTGTTTAATTTTCTAGCCCCCTCCTTTTTTTTTTTTTGGAAACAAGGTATCACTCTGTCTCCCACGCTGGAGTGCAGTGGTGTCATTATAGCTCACTGCAACCTCAAACTAACTCCTGGGCTCAAGAGACACTCCTGGCTCACTCTCCCCAGTAGCTGGGACTACAGATGCATACCACTATATCCAGCTAACTTTTTAAAAGTGTTTCTTTTGGTGGTGGGTGGTCTCAAACTCCTGGCCTCAAGCAATCCTCCCACCTTGGCCTCCTGAAGTACTAGGATTCAGGTGTGAGCCATTGCACCCAGCCCATTTTCTAGACTCTTTAGAAGAAATTGAAAAGGAAGAAGGTTGGCAATGGGTGTGGGGTTAGTCAATTCACGTGACTGACACATTGAGTATCACATTGAACAGGTGGGAGGAGGAAAAAATGTTTGGTGTCATCATTCTGAGTGGATAATATTGAAAGATTGTGAGTTCAGTTTTGGATATATTGAGTTTGAGTTGTGTGATACACTTGAACAATGGCCTCCAAAGATATCCATGTCTTAATCCTTAGAACCTGTGAATGTTACTTTGTATAGCAAAAGGGACTTTGCAGATGTCACTAAATTAAGGATCATGAGATTCGGCGATTATCCTAAACGCAGTGAGCCCTAAATGCAGTCACAAGTATTCTTATAAGAAGGAAGCGGAGGGAGATTTTTTTCCCAGAGGGAGATTTGACTATAGAAAAGTAATAGATTGTGAGGATGGAAGCAAGAGGTTGGCGTGATGTGAGGAAGAGGCCAAGGCCAAGGAATGCAGGCAACTTCTAAAAGCCAAAAAAGGCAAGAAAAGAGATTCTCCCCTCAGAGCCTCTAGAAGGAATCAAGCCTAAAGACACCTTGACTTTAGCCCAGTGAGACTGACTTTAGAATTCTGGTTTACAGAGTTGTAAGACAATAAATTTGTGTTGTTTTAAGCTACTAAATTTGTGGTAATCCAGTACAGCAGCAATAGGAAACTAATGCAAGCTGCCTTTAAAACATCTAAGAGATGTCAGGTAGGCAGTTGAAGACAAGGGTCTGGAGGTGAAAGAAGGCTGAGCTTGAGCTATAAATTTGTACATCACACTCATCTGGGTGGCAGCTGAAGCTGCGGGAGGGCATAAACTCATTAGGGGAGTGACACTGTCACCTACTTCCTGTCCATCTTTCAGCAAGGTATTTGACTTCTCTGACACATTATTGAGCATTTATTCTGTTCTGCAATCATATCAAGCAATTTACATGCATTCTCATTTAATCCTCACAACCACTTTGAGGTAGAAACCATTTTTATCTATTTACAAAAAAGGAAATTGGCTTAAAAAGTTTGAATAGTTTGTCCAAGATCACATAGTACAATGAGGAGACAAGTCTAATGCCATTGCATTTGACTCAGCCCTTGTTACTCGGCTACCAGCAGCACTGACGTGATCTGGGAGTTTGTTAGACCTACTAAATCAGAATCGGAATTTTATTATAATAAGAACTTCAGGTTATTTGTACATTAAGTATGAGAAGGAGTCTCTAGCCTGCCTCCAGAATGGGTTCCACACAGGCCGGTGCTGAACCAAGAGCCTAGCTCAGAGTTCGAGAAACACAATGTTTTTCACCTCTATAACTTTGCTCATGCCATTCTCTAACTGAATTTAATACTCCGGTGCAGGAGTCCAGGTCGGGCGCCTCCGCAGTAATCTCAAGTATTAATACTTTTATCTACTGTAACTCTTGGGTAACAATCCTGTCTCCTTTACTAGTACGTGAAAGTCTCTAGCGTAAGACAGAGTTTTTTCTCACCTAGGTGTCCTCAATGCCAGGCAAAATCAAGACCCACAGCAGACGACTAGCCACTATCAGAACGCAAGTATGAAGTAGCAAACAAAACTGAAAACTGTCACAGCGAAGACCTACTCGGGCGCAGTGGAGCCCTCCTAGGCCGGTGATAAGGCGCAGCTGTGGAAGGTTGGTGGGCGGGAGGTTTAAATGCCTGAGTTCAGCCCTCCCACTGGCTGAGCGGATCGGCGCATGCGCACGGCTCGCGGGCACCGCCTCAGAGGGTCTTCCGCGCATGCGCGGGATCCCGGATATGGATCAAGTTGATTGAAAGCGCGCGGTGCTGCTGCAATGGCGGCGCTCAGAATAGCGACGGGTACTGGCAATTGGTTTTCGGCTTTGGCGCTCGGGGTGACTCTCCTCAAATGCCTGCTCATCCCCACCTAGTAAGGGACCCGCACGGCCAGGGGCTGGGTGGGGAGGCCCCGCGGTTGGTCAGGGCGGGAGAGGGGAGTATGGATATTCCTGGGTATAAGGAGGAAAAGGAATTTTAGGTAAGTCGTGCTGGTCGCCACCCCGCCTTTGTTAAGTTTCCCACCGATTGTTACTTGACCTGAGAACTAGAGCATAGCCCTAGCTGGCCAGGTTCAGGCCTGGCGCTGTCTGACTTGGGACAAGTCACTTTCACGTTTTGAGCCTCAGGGTTCCCATCCTTAATACGCATTTAAGAACACCTGTCTCCACCATTCATTCAGCCAGTATTATCAGCTTCCTGTGGTGCCAGGAACCGTTCTAACTCCTGAAGATGCAGTGGTGAGCAAGACATTTCTGGTTCTTGCCCTGGATGGAGTTGGTGAGTGGAGATAGACAAACAGGAAAGTTTCAGATTGTGATTAGATCTATAAAGGAAATAGAGAGTGACTAAGTGGCAGGGCACTTTTAGGAGATGATGTTTGGGTTAAAATTCAAAGATGCAAAAGAATAAGTAATATGAAAAGCAGTTCAGGCATAGGAAAGAGTAAATGGAAAGGCCCTGTGGCAGAAAAGAACTCAGAGCATTCTAGGAACAGAAAGTGGCCATTAAGGGAGAATGGCACAGGATGGGGTAGACAGTGGCCAGATCACACAGAGTTATGAAGGCCATAGTTACACTGCTGTGTGAAAAATGGATGGAGGGCCAAGACTGAAAAAAGCATGGGAATCAGGAAGCAACCACCAAGTGGTGGTGTGTATACAATATTTATTAATATCAGCTTCCACCTTCCCATCATCCTAACTCTTTTCCCTTTTTCCCCTTATGCCCTTTTTTCCCTTACCTCCAGGTCCCCTGCTTCCTAGTTTAGGATTTGGTTTATTGGTATCCTTTGATTCAAGCTCTTGGTGCTCTCTTGTTGGGTGTGGAAGAGTTGTGTTTATACAATATACATCCATACTGATGTGTATATGTAATTATATAAGCAGTGAAATGTATATCTAGCTTTGGTAAAATGACTTACCAGGGACTTGGAGGAAAAGAGTTGGTCATTTGAACTTTCTGCACAAGCAAATAAGAAACATCTTTCCATTTTAAAAGCAAATTGGAAAAATCTTTCTAAAATGTAGGAAATTCCTTTCATATCAGAATAAAAGAGAATTTTTTTCTTAACTGGAGTTCTGTGTATATAAGGGGATATTTCTTGCTGTAGTTACTTCAGCCTAGAAATGTACCCACAGTGTTGTTATTTTGAATACCACTCTTGGGCCAGGATTAAGAATGTGTATAGTGCTCATTTCGGCAGCAGACATACCAACATACCTCATTTTTTGTGCTTCACTTTATTGTACTTCACAGATACTGCTTTTTTTATAAATTGAAAGTTTGTGGCAACCCTGCATCAAGCAAGTCTATTGGTGCTGTTTTCCAAGAGCATGTGCTCACTTTATGTCTCTGTGTCACATTTTGGTAATTATCTGTTATGGTGGTCTGTGATCAGGGATCTTTGATGTTAGTGTTGTAATTGCTTTGGGGCACCACGAACCACAGCCACATTAGATGGCAAACTTAATGTGTGTATTCTGACTGCTCCACCAACCAGCCATTCCACCATCTCTCTCCACCTCTTGGGGCCTCCTCATTCCTCAAGACACAGTGATACTAAAATTAGGCCAATTAATAGTCCTACAATGGCCTGTAAGTGTTCAAGTGAAAGGAGGAGTCACAAGTCTCTCACTTTAAATCAAAAGCTACAAATAATTAAGCTTAGTGAAGAAAGCATGTGGAAAGCCAAGATAGGCCAAAAGCTAGGCCTCTTATGCCAAACAGCCATGTTGTAAATACAAAGGAGAAGTTTTTAAAGCAAACTAAAAGTGCTACTCCATAAATACATGAATGATAAGAAAGCAAAACAGCCTTATTAATATGGAGAATGTTTTAGTCATCTGAATAGAACAAGAAACCAGCCATAACATTCCCTTAAGCCAAAGCCTAATCCAGAGCAAGGTCCTAACTTTCTTCAATTATGTGAAGGCTGAGAGAGGTGAGGAAGCTGCAGAAGAAAAGTTTGAAGCTAGTAGAGGTTGGTTCACGAAGTTTAAGGAAAAAAGCCACTCCATAACATATATATGCAAAGTGAAGCAGTAAGTACTCATTTAGAAGCTGCAGCAAGTTATCTAGAAGATCTAGCTAAGATCATTGATGAAGGTGGCTACAGTAAACAACAGATTTTCAATGTAGATAAAACAGCCTTCTTTTGGAAGAAGATACCATCTAGGACTTTTATAGCTCAAGAGGAGAAGTCATTGCCTGGCTTCAAAGCTTCAGAGGACCAGGTGACCCTTGTAAGGGGTTAATGCAGCTGTTGACTTTAAGTTGAAGCCAACACTCATTTACCATTCCAAAAATCCTAGGGCCGTTAAGAATTATCCTAAATCTACTCTTCCAGTATTCTATAAATGGAACAAACAAAGCCTAGATGACAGCACATCTGTTTACAGCATGGTTCACTGATTATTTTAAGCCCACTGCTGAGACCTACTGCTCAGAAATAAAGATTCCTTACAAAATATCACTGCTCATTGACAATATATCTGGTCACCCAAGAGCTCTGATAGAGATTTATAAGGAGATTAATGTTGTTTTCACGCCTGCTAACACAACATCCATTCTGTAGTCCATGGATCAAGGAGTATTTTTTGATTTTCAAGTCTTATTATTTAAGAAATACATTTTCTTACAAATTTACGAGAGTTCAACAGAGTCTTTGAAAACAGGTGGAGGAGTGGTAACTTATTTAGCAAGGCAAAGCAACTTTCAGCTCAGCGTGCTTGTAGAGGAGGATAGACTAGAAAAGAATCTATATGCCTTGCAGAATCCTGGAGGGGTTTAAGACTTTGATACATGGGACTCAAAATTGGGAAATTGGTTGATAGTCAATATATTAATACTTTAAAAAAAAAAAAAAGACCTGCAGTCCCATAATGCTGGCAAGTAGCATCTATACCCCTTGAAAGTGAGGTTTCTTCTCTGAAGAAATTAAATAGGAGAATCTCCAGATTCAGAGGCACCAGGTTTTGTGTAAGACAGAAGTGAGGCAAAGGGCAGAAAATTCAGATTAATTGACGATCTATGTAGAGTAGTTAATATCCCTCCTCACCCCATCCTTCATCCCATCCCTCTTCCCTCAGCTCAAATGCAAGCAGAAAATCAGAGGTTTAGTCTTTGGAGAAGCTGAAACAACCCCAGAGGAAAGACTTTTACTAGCTTTGTGGGTTCTTCTAGTGAAACCGTCACCTCTATACCTGGTCATCACAAAGTGAAGTCTCCAATAGTTTCTAACAAGAAACAACAAAATAACTACAACAACCAAAAAAGAGACTAAAGGAGGTTGATATAATACAACTAATAAAATTTCCCCAAACTCCAATGAATTCTAAATGCCATCTTTAGAGAGCTTCAAAAAGATACATCCATAAAACAACACATGCTATGAAACAGGAATGATGAGAGAATAGAGTACTTAAAAATAGAAAATATAATTGCCAAAATTAAAATCAAAAGGATAAATTGAGTAAATCTTTCAAAAATATGAGAGAAAAGATAAGAATTAGAAGTCCTATCTAGGATGTCTAGCATTCAACTAGTTTCAGAAAAAAGAAACTGAAAACAGAGGGGAGGAGATAACAAATAAATAATATTTCCCAGAGCTGAAGGGACACTTGAATGCTCAGCATAATAAATGCAAAAAGGCCCTTACCAAGACATAAATCACTAGACATTTAAGACCACTAGGGATAAAAAGAAGAAACAAAAAACTTCCAGAAATGAAGGGAAAATCGTAAAGGAAAGAGACCTATCAACATCAGCATTTTATACTAAAAACCAATGGATCAAGCTTTCCAAAATTCAGAGTGAAAGTAATTTTTAACCTAGAATTCTATACCCAGTCAAGTATAATATATCAGAAGCACAAATCATAAATGTACAGCTCACTGAATTTTTGCAGTGAATACATCTGTAAATAGCATCTAGATCAATAAACAATATTATTAGAAGCCCCTCATGCCTCTTTCCAGTCATTCTTCCCACCCCAACCCACCAAGGGTATTGGTATCTGGCTTTTAACCCCATAGATTAAATTTTGCCTATTTTTTAGTTTTATACAAATGGAATCATACATGTTGTCTTGGGTCTGGCTTCTTTCATTTAGCATTAAGTTTATGTGTCGTTGCATGTAATCATAGTTTGTTCATTCTCACCACTATGTAGCAGGTGTTCTCAAACCTTTTAGTCAGAATCTCTTTACCTCTTTTTTTTTTTTTTTTTTTTTTGAGACAGAGTCTCACTCTGTTGCCCGGGCTAGAGTGCCGTGGCGTCAGCTTAGCTCACAGCAACCTCAAACTCCTGGGCTCAAGCGATCCTCCTGTCTCAGCCTCTCGAGTAGCTGGGACTACAGGCCTGCGCCACTATGCCCAGCTAATTTTTTTTCTATATATATATATTTTAATTGTCCAGCTAATTTTTCTTTCTATTTTTAGTAGAGACGGGGTCTTGCTCTCGCTCAGGCTGGTCTTGAACTCCTGAGCTCAAACGATCCACCCGCCTCGGCCTCCCAGACCTTTACCTTTTAAAGATCATTGAGGGCCACAAAGAGCTATATGCTCGTAGGGGCTGTATAATAGATATTTACTATTTTAGAAATTAAAACAAATTGTTAAAGCACAAGAATATACAAGTACAAATTGCATTAGCCTTCAGGGTAATGACATCACATTGTGTAGCCTCTGGAACATCACTGTATACTCATGAGAGAATGAGTGAAAAAAGAGCAACTTACATCTGAGTATTATTATGAAAACAGTTTTGACCTGATAAACTCCCTTAAAGGGTCCCCATGGGAGTCCCTGAATCACACTTTGAAAATTGCTGCCCTGTAGTATTCAATTGTATGATTTTATTGAGCCATTCTACTGTTAATGGACATTTGAATTATCTCCACTTACTGCCTGTTGCAGATAATGCTGCTTTGGACATTCTTCTATAGTATGTCTTTTGATAAATATACATGTCTTTTGGTGAACATATTATGCATTTCTGTTGGGTGTATATAATACTTAGAATTGGGATTGATGGGTCATCAGTTCATTTTTTAGTGGTGATCTGGAAGCATCTGAAGGAAATTCAGGTTGGAGTGTCAGGAGGAAATTGGAGATGTCTATCTCTAGAAATCAAGAAAAAAAACCAAGGTTTGCATATTGTGATTTGGAAGTCATCATTGTACAGTTAATAGTCTAACCAAAAAGTGTGAATATGATTGTCCAAAGCAGAGTAAGTTGCATAAAAAAACAGGACCAAGAACTGAACCTAGAGAAACATCAACACTTATCTGATGAATATAGGAAGGGAAGGCGATGATTGAGACTGAAAAAGAGTTGCTAGGAGACTTAGGAGAAAGTTGTTATTGTGGAAAACATACACTTTCCAATGTGTGGAAACACTGGACAGTGTAAATTGGGCTTTGCTGTGGAGCTCATTATTGACTTTGGTGAGTGGTTATTCAACTAGAATGTATTGAGCCCATCCATGTGTTAGGTACTGTTCTGTATGTGGAAGGGAAGGTATAGCAGTGGACAAACTGGAAAAAAAGACTTTATAGTGAAGATGGGAGGTACTTGAATACAGTTATACATTGTGATGGCGAGGTGGAGAAGTGGGAGACACGGGCAAGGCAGGGGCCTTTTTCTACCTTCTGTGCCGAACTCCTCCTCATCCTGGAAGATCCAGCTTATATGTGAGGCCTTTTCCAGATAATGAATTTTGTTAGAATTCTTTGTGAGCAAGAGGATGTCATTTCTGAGCAAGGGCCTGAGGGCTTCCCTTAAAAAGTGTGGGCTTTTTGTCAGCCCTTTTGATAGCTCTGAGACCCTTTTTACTGACTTATAGGTCCCTCAACAACTTTCCAGAAGGATCTCTGACCTCCAGATGAACGAGGTGTTACCGAATTATGTCATGCCTGTTTATGTCTTTATAGGACAGTGAGCTGTGACTGCTTAGGGGATGTCGGTCCATTTAAAAGCATAATTATGGAAATTATAAATTGATAAATGTGCAAAATCTCATTTTATTCATCTAATTGTTTTGAGTAGCCATTCCACAGACTTTGAAGTACACCGAAACTGGCTTGCTGTCACCCACAGTTTGCCGATATCACAGTGGTATTATGAGGTAAGTTTTATCTTCACCTTTTTGGTTGTATTTTTTTTTGAGATGATGTATAAAACCAGGTAAATATTATTGACATTAAAAGAATTTTCCATGAGGTCATAGGCCTAATTTTTATAAAAACTGTGTTTTTTTCCCCAGTTCTGACGTCTAGCACTATATTAGGGAATCCCATTACTTCAAAATGAGTTTCCCAGTCTATTAATTGGGGATTATAATATTTGCCACACTCTTTGAAAGAGCTTTGGATTGGGAAAGAGGAAAAATTGGATTCTAGGCCTGGCTCTGCCACTAACTAGTTATATAGTCAGAGGAAAGGTACTTCATCTCTCTGGGCCTTAGTGTCCTATCTGGCACATGAGGATTTAGAATCATTTCTAAGATCCTGCTATCCCTAATGTTTTGTGATTTTATGAGGAAAGGAATAATCAAATGATATATGTAGGCCTCAGGTAACATACAAACCATTCTCTCCTGTTAATTGTAAAACCTATGTCTATATTTTTATTTCTGGTATGAATTACTAAATTGCATGTGATACTTTATGAAAAACAGACATTACCTCAGAAATGTCTTGATCAAAAGCAGCCTTCTGCTGTTAGGAATATATTTTTTAAGGCAAGTTTTTTGTGACTTTTCTGTGAGTTTCAATACTATATATATAGTATTTTGTGTGTATATATACAAGATATAATAGAATAACCCATGAAGTAGGCATTACTACCCTGTTATATAGGTGAGAAAACAGACTTAGAGAAATATAACAAAAAATAATATTCTAAAGTTTGCATATTTTTCATTCGATCTCTATTTTCATTTACTCATTAGTGACTGTTCATTCCTTTAACTAATGATTATTTAACGCTCAGGATAATGCTCAGAATGCAAAATGACAAAGGGTGATTGGTTTCTACTCCCAAGAATCTCCTAACCTAGTAAAACAAGAGATACGTAGCATTTGTGTACCATTTTGTTGTTTATAAATATATTTCATATATGTATTATCTCATTTAATCGTCACAATACTTCATTTTACAAATAAAGAAATTGAGTCTGAGACAGAACTTGAACCCAAGCTAGTGAATCATTTATTATGCTACAGTTCCCTTTTCGTATTCAGATGGGTAGAACCATGTCGTAACTCAGTTTATTATTTCAAGGTTTCAGATTAATTTCCTTTGAGGTATAGTCGACTTTATTTAAGGAAGTTGAAGACCATATTAAATAATTTGGAAGACAGGTTTTAGTGTTCTGCTCAGTCTTACATAGGAATTGCTCTATTAATTTAGTGCACATTTTAAATGCAATTTCATTTCATTATATTTTTTTAAAGACCAGAGAATGCAAAATTGTCAATGTTTACACCTTCTTTGTTTATTCAGTTACTTAAGATATGTTTTATCTTCAATTTTTATCACAGGCAACTTCAGAGTGGACCTTGGATTACCCCCCTTTTTTCGCATGGTTTGAGTATGTCCTGTCACATATTGCCAAATATTTTGATCAAGAGATGCTGAATATCCATAATCTGAATTACTGCAGCTCAAAGACCTTACTTTTCCAGAGATTTTCTGTCATCTTTACGGATGTACTCTTTGTGTATGCTGTCCATGAGTAAGTCTGGGGCCTGTCATTTTGTGTCTAGATATTGAAGAAATATTACAGTATTAAATAGTATTAACTTATTCCTGATTTAGGGGAAACAAAGTTTATATAATAGCAAATGCTAAAACAATGAAAAACTGTTGTGCTTTAAACTGCATGAGTTTAAAGCGTGTAGCTGAATCTTGTGGAAGAAATGGGGATGAGGTGGGGTTACAAGCAGAGGTAGAACAAGAGATTGTGCATGTTGTGAAAAGAAGTATCCCAAGTGGAGTTCCAGGGCCATCTCCCCCATCCAGAATAGCTCCATCTGCTTTTCTTCCCTTCTTTGCAGCAGGCCCCCAGAACCTTCTAGGACCTACTCTATTTTTGGGGATCCAAACATATGTACATAGTACATGCACACTCGTGCATGTATATACAGTGTGCTAACCACCAAAGTCTGCTCTTGTGGAGCTTATATTCTAGTAAACTCAAGAAATCGCACTGAGTGCTTTCAGTGGTTGTTTATATTTTATATCTTTTACTTATAAATTAATTTTGAGTAGTTGAATATACATATATAGAATGGCTTACACAGTGACTTTCAATTAGTAAGTTTTCAGTTAATGTTGGTTTCCACTCTGTCCTAGTATTTAAGCCTGCTGGTGTGATTGTGACAGAGCAGTAACTGTTCATTCATTGACCCTTGTCATGAATGGATCACTTCTATTTGGGAGGCCCTCTAGACTGAACCCTTGCCCCAGTCAGTAAACAGTCCCTTGGGAATGTTTTAACCCCTGCCCATTCTTATTGAGTAACTCTTGTTTGACCCCTCACTTTCAATCAGTTATAACCTGGCAGGAGTTGGAAGGGAGAGTGATTTGTAGTATGTTCCTTTTAACTCAATATGTTTGAATTAAAGCTCCTGGGGAAAGTGTATACAAGCAAAAAGGGAGAGGGAGTAGAATTAATTTCCATCTGCAAAGGAGAGGGAAGAGTTAAATAAGATTATTGAAATTTATGTGCCAGTTCCAAGAACCAAGCATTATGTATTAACTTACTTACTTTTATAAATTACCCTGTAAGTTTACCTCTATTCATGAGGAAACTGAAGCCCCATGGAGGAAAAGCAGGACACCTTTCCTAGTCCCCCTTTAATTGCCTCTATTTTGTTTTTCAGATTCCTTTGTTTTTAGAATTTGCCAATATTCAAATGTAACAAATTTTTTTTTTTTTTTGAGACAGAGTCTCACTCTCTTGCTTGGGCTAGAGTGCTGTGACGTCAGCCTAGCTCACAGCAACCTCAAACTCCTGGGCTCAAGCGATCCTCCTGCCTCAGCCTCCCGGGTAGCTGGGACTACAGGCGTGCACCACCATGCCCCGCTAATTTTTTTTTCTATTTTTAGTTGTTTGGCTAATTTCTTTCTATTTATAGTAGAGACGAGGTCTTGCTCTTGCTCAGGCTGGTCTCGAACTCCTGAGCTAAAGCAATCCTCCCACCTCGGCCTCCCAGAGTGCTGGGATTACATGCGTGAGCCACTGAGCCCAGCCTGTAACACATTGTAAACATCTTCTTTTTATAAAATAACACATCCTCATTGTCAAAACTTTGGAAAAGCACACACACACACAAATACAGGGTAAAAATAACCATACTTCCCCACCTGTAGTTATCACTATGAATATTTTGGTGCATATTATTTCAGTCTCTTCTGTGTCTGAATATAATTTTTATAAAATTAAAAATGGAGTCATACTGTTTTGTTACCTGCTATTGTCACTTAGTAATATGTCTGAACATTTAAATGACATACTTTTTTATTATACATAAGGGGTTTTTTAATTATTATTTGGAGAATCAGGAGCTGCAAGTTTGTGAGTCTATTCTTAATTTGGCTGGTATGGTAATATATAACTTAGAGTCCTAAATCTCTCTGGTCTGCATTTTTTACTCTTCAGGACTTAAATAGTATGTGCCCTCTCAATTTTCAATATCCTTTTAAGTTTAGGTAGCTGTTTCTGTTTTTAGTTTTATAAATGAAGACTTTGTTTTAGATCAGCATAGCTGACAAAGAGACATGGTGTTTGTTATGTTTTGTTCTTTTTCCAGATATGGGGTCTCACTATGTTGCTCAGCCTGGCCTCAAATTCTTGGGCTCAAGTGATCTCCTTACCTCAGCCTCTCAAGTAGCTGGGACTATAGGCCTGGCTTGCTGCCACCTTTTTAAGCAATCAAGAATAGCTTAGGCTGGGCATGGTGGCTCATGCATATAATCCCAACACTTTGGGAGGCTGAGGCAGGAGTATTTCTTTTTTTTTTTTCAGACAGAGTCTCGCTTTGTTGCCCAGGCTAGAGTGCCGTGGCATCATCATAGCTCACACAACCTCAAACTCCTGGGCTCAAGCGATCCTTCTGCCTCAGCCTCCCAAGTAGCTGGCACTACAGGCATGCGCCACCATGCCCGGCTAATTTTTTCTATATATTTTTAGTTGTCCGATTAATTTCTTTCTATTTTTAGTAGAAATGGGGTCTCGCTCTTGCTCAGGCTGGTTTCGAACTCCTGAGCTCAAACAATCCGCCTGCCTCGGCCTCCCAGAGTGCTAGGATTACAGGTGTGAGCCACCGCACCCGGCCTAATAGGCAAAGTTCTTAAATTTAAGGGGTCTGGTTGTAATTAAAATTCTAACGATAGAAGCCTAATATTTTGCAGCTTTCGTAGAGGTAGGCTGGTATGGAGGAAAACATCCAGACTTTGGTTTCAATCTGACCTGAACTCAAATCTTAGTTAAGTTGTCCTAGTAACTTTGGGACCATGAGTAGATTAATGTCTCTGAGCCTTAATTTCTTTATCTCTAAAGAGGATAATTCTAACTACCCCACAGGTTCATTGTGAAGCTTAATCAATAAGATAGTGTATGTGCTATGAACATTGGAGTGCTGCATGCTAGTGGCCTTTAGTGGCTGTTAGGTCCCTTCCTTTCTCATCCCTAATTCTAAAATACAAAACAAAAATTTCTTGCCCCTTAGCTGCTGGGCCTTTAAGGTAGAAAAAAAATAAGAAAGTTTTCTGGTTTTTTTCTTAAACGTAAATTCTAGTTAAAGAGTTTGTCCAAGATTTGACTCTGTTTATGGAAAACACATTATGAGAAGTCTAAACTAGTAGTAATATTTTTGTCTTGAATTTACTTATTAAGAAAGTATTTGCAATTTCTATACTCAGTCAGCTGGCACAGTTCATTATGGTATCCTCTGTTATCTTTCCTTGACCTAAGTCCAGATATTCATTTCCAGTATAATGGTTTTTTATTTGGATTAATGCTACTCTCCATTGCACGATTATTTCAGGTAAACACAAAATTGGCTAATTGAATTTTTTCCAGTTTAGTTTAATGACAGTGTGGTAGGTGATGGGAAAATTTATTTGACCAACTGCTTTAAGTTGCCAAGGGCTATAGACACTTTTTTTGGGTATTTCTCACAAATTCCATCTTCTCTCTTTTTTTTTTTTTTCCCATCTTCTCTTTTGACAATAATTTTCTCCATTTTACAGATGAGAAGATTGTACTCTAAAAATTTGTTAGCCTGTGGCAGGCCTGAATTAAACTTGAGTTTCTATGTTTGGTTGGGATCACTTATGTAGGAATGAAATCTCCAGCAGTTTTTACAATATATAATTATGATGGTGGTGCTTTACCATCAAGCATGAATAATAGTGTAATGGAAAATATGGGATTTGGAATCAGAACTGGGTTGTAATCTTGCCTAATGCTAATGAGCTCTGTGACTCAGACAGAACTTTACTCAAATGCATTGGCTGCTTCAGATTTGTATTACATATATTTTATTAAGTAACTTCACAACCTTTCTGTGAAGTTATTATAATCATTATTCTCCTTTTTTTTTTGAGACAGGATCTTGCTCTGTTGCCTGGGCTAGAGTGCAGTGGTGTCCTCGTAGCTCACTGCAGCCTCAAACTCCTGGGCTCCAGGAACCCTCCTGTCTCAGCCTCCCGAGTAGCTGGGACTACAGTCACATGCCACCACGCCTGGCTAATTTTTTTTATTTTTTGTGAAGACAGGGTCTTGCCCCTGTGCAGGCTGGTCTTGAACTCATGGTCCCAAGCAATCCCCCTACCTTGACCTCCTCCCAAAATGCATGAGCCACCATGACCAGCCTATTCTCCTTTTATAGAGGAGGAAATAAGAAACACAGATTTCTGGGCCACCCCTCTGTACACTGAATCAAAATCTCTGAGATTAGGGTTTAGAAATCTCCAAGTCATTTTGATACACCATCAGGTTTGTGAACCATTAACCAAAGGCAAGTCATTTAACCCTCTTAGATTCAATTTTCTCATCCATAAAATGAAATTTACCCCTGTATTCTTATTTATAAAACAAGGCTACTTACCTCACAGGGACTTTGGAAAGATCAAATTCGATAGTCTGCTTTAAAGTTCATTGTCAACTATAAATGTCTGGTTAAACTTTTCTCTTTTAACTATAAAAAGCCACATGTTGCTTAGGACATAATCAGTGTTCAATAAATAGTTATTGGATGCTTATTGAACAAATGAACTAAAATTTGACCATAGAATCAGCTAGACCTTATCTGGATCTTACGTAAGTTATAAAATTGGTGAAGAGAGATCTGGAAGCATCCCATTCTTTTTCCTTATTGTTCCTAAACCTACCTATTCTAGAACACACCTGATGAAACAGAGAAGGAACTGGCCTCCCATGGTCCCTTTGGCAGTTTCCCTTGCTGAACACCAGGACCGTTGTCTCATTTGATCCTTCCAAAATTCCTGTGAGGTAGGTAGAATTCAGACTTCTTAGTTACAGTCAACTGGGTTTTTTGTTTTTGTTTTAATCAGAATTAGTTCTCCTAGGTAGTTTGTTAGGACCAAGTGCTATACCTTGTGCATTTAGCCTGATAGTACTATATAAAATACCTAATCTATAGTATAAGATTTAAGTGGTTCTTTGGTAAGATAGCATCAAATATGTTCATTTATGCTCTCATTCCCATATCTTCTTTGGAAATCAACTCCAGCTATTGTAAAACTGTAAGGGGTGGAAGTAATTGAATTCTCTGAGCTCTAACTCCTAAGGGAGAATTTGTACTATGTTATTACTGATGACATATCCTACATCTCAGCATCAGGCTTAGTGCATAATAAATATTTGTTGAAATAATGACTTTACGAATCTATTAAAATCATTTTTTTTTTTTTTAGTTTAGTTTTGTTTTTTTTGAGACAGAGTCTCACTCTGTTGCCTGGGCTAGAGTGCCGTGGCGTCAGTCTAGCTCACAGCAACCTCAAACTCCTGGGCTCAAGCAATCCTACTGCCTCAGCCTCCCGAATAGCTAGGACTACAGGCATGCGCCACCATGTCTGGCTAATTTTTTTTTTCTGTATATATTTTTAGTTGTCTAGCTAATTTTTTTCTATTTTTTTAGTAGAGACGAGGCCTCGCTCTTGGTCAGGCTGGTTTTGAACTCCTGAGCTCAAATGATCCATCTGCCTTCGCCTCTCAGAGTGCTAGGATTACAGACATGAGCCACCATGCCTGGCCTGAATCAGTATAAAAGATAGTTGGAATCTTTTGCCTATGTTCTCCTTATATTGCTTGTAGAACATTTACCTTGAATTTTTAAACCTTTTTATTATGGAAAATTTAAATCTCATAAAAGTAGAAAGAATAGTATGACAATCTATACACACAGAAGATTATTTTAAAACACATCCCAGGTATTTCATTTGTATTTCAGAATATATCATTAAAGATAGATATCTTCTATTTTTTAATAAACTTTTTTAAGAATAATTTTAGCTTTCCAGAAAAGTGGTAGAAATAGTACAGAGAGTTCCTGTATACCCTTCACCCGTTTTCTCATCTTACCATCTTATATAACCATGGCACATTCATCAAGATTAAGAAACCGCCGGGCGCGGTGGCTCACGCCTGTAATCCTAGCTCTCTGGGAGGCCGAAGCGGGCGGATTGTTTGAGCTCAGGAGTTCAAAACCAGCCTGAGCAAGAGCGAGACCCCATCTCTACCAAAAATAGAAAGAAATTAATCAGACAGCTAAAAATATATAGAAAAAATTAGCTGGGCATGGTGGCGCATGCCTGTAGTCCCAGCTACTCGGGAGGCTGAGGCAGAAGGATTGCTTGAGCCCAGGAGTTTGAGGTTGCTGTGAGCTAGGATGACGCCACGGCACTCACTCTAGCCAGGGCAACAGAGTGAGACTCTGTCTCAAAAAAAAAAGAAAAAAAAGATTAAGAAACCAACATAGGTACATTCAAATTTCACCAGTTTTTGCACTAATGTCTTTTTCTGTTCCAGGATTTAATCCAGGATACTACATTATTTCATTTCATTTACCCTGATTTTTAAAGTGATATTTTCCCTTTTAAATCTCCTAGAAAAGGCATATGGAAGGAGCATTTCTCTTTGCTGTTCTCCTACATTTCAAGCACATCTACCTCTACGTAGCACCAGCTTATGGTGTATATCTGCTACGATCTTACTGTTTCACTGCAAATAAACCAGGCAAGTTTTAGTGATAATAGCAAAACATTTTTTATTTTCTTCTTTACTGTATTGACTTGGTAGTTTGCTTGATAAGAGGATTTTATGAAGTACAACAAGTATCTCTTGGCTGCTGATCCTATAAATCCTTTACCCATTCTGACTTTGCTCTTGCCACATCATAAAGATTATTGTGCTATCGGGGGATACGTCTAGTTTTAGCACATCTAGGTTATGGCTTTCCATACTCCTAGTTAATGATAATGTTCCTTTTCTGTAGATGGGTCTATTCGATGGAACAGTTTCAGCTTTGTTCGTGTTATTTCCCTGGGACTGGTTGTTTTCCTAGTTTCTGCTGTTTCGCTGGGTCCTTTCCTAGCCTTGGTAAGCCTTTTATTTTTTTAAGTAATACATGTTTTTTGCTGGTGTTTGGAGAAAATAATAAAGCCAGGCATATATGAAATAAGCAAAAGCTACTTTTTTCTTACTCCTCCTACCCAATATGACACCCCAAAGATAGGGTAGTATTTTTCATACATTCTTGTGCATATTCAAATATGTACATGTATATGTTTTACTCTACATTACACACAGAGACACATACAGAATTGATCCTCATTATTGGTGTATTCTGTATTTGCAAATTTACCTACTTGATAAAATGTATTTGCAGCCTCCAAAATCAATAACTTTGCAGTCTTCCACAGCAAACATTCTAAAGTGCCTAGAATGTAACATGTTCAAATGTTTTTCTCTTTTCCCCTTCTTCCCCACCCTGAAATCAACTAATTAATTTTAATTCCTACTAAAACTGAAAAACCCCACATCTTTTGTTGTCTTCCCTGCTCTTCTCTTCACTCTAGTAGACTTGGATGAGCTGCAGTGCTCTCCTTTGCACCTTGTAAATTCGTCCATTATTATACTTACAGCATAATAGTATGGACTGGTACTCAAAGTACTTTTATGTATCTTGTCCCATCGGACAGTTGACAAGGTTAGATAAAAAGAGGTTCTGTGAACTGCTCAGTATCATATAACCGCTTACTTGAAGGAATAAAGGCTGGAACCCAGAACTTATAACTTTCTACTCACTATGCCATTGACAGTTCCCTAGTTCTCTTTTTGAATTTGAAAAAGATTGATGACTGTTTAATCAGTTTCATTTCTCTTTTCAACAGAATCAACTGCCTCAAGTCTTTTCCCGACTCTTTCCTTTCAAGAGGGGCCTCTGCCATGCATACTGGGCTCCAAACTTCTGGGCTTTGTACAATGCTTTGGACAAAGTACTGTCTGTCATTGGTATGGTAGCAAGCCTTTTTACTCAGACTATGAATATTGAAAGGACTGATCACATGGAGAAATGGAAAAACCTGCTTTGTGTTTTGAATGTGGCCAAATTGCTTGTTCTCCAGTCCTGCATTTCAGCTTTCAGGATGAACAAGGGGAGCAGTTCTTGGGACTGAGGCTTTAGTGCAGTAAATAGACTATTTTCCTTATAAAAGTTCTTGTGGCAATGAGGATATTGATCCTTTCCTTGGAAAAATATAAAATATTTAGACACTTTTTAAAGGTAATTTTTGCCTTAAGTAAAACATTATTCAGTAGTTAATGCTACTTTTAAACTTAAATATGTGAAGAAGCAAGAAAGAAAATATATAACTCTGGGTGTTAAACCAATTAGGAAACTGATAAACCACACATTTTAGAAGAAATTAAAGACCTAGGCTATGCTTTTTCTTGTTTTTAAAGAGACAGGGTCTTGTGTTGCCCAGGCTTTAGTGCAGTGGCACGATCATAGCTCACTGCAGCCTCAAACTCCTGGGCTCAAGTGATCCTCCCACCTCAGCCTCCCAAGTAGCTGGGACCATAGGCACGCACCTAATTTTTTAATTTTTTTGTAGATACAGCTAGAATTAACAGGTGTGACCCACTGTGCCCAGCCAGGCTATGCTTTTTTAAGTTTAGGTTGTAATGAAAAATAATTTATGCCTTGAGATCATTCTACTAAAAATAACTCACAGTCTCTCATTTGTGAATACAGCCTAAATGGCTGGATCAGGAGTGGTAGTCAGCGAACTTTTTCTGTAACTGGCCAGATAGTATTTTAGGCTGTGCAGGCCACACACATGATGAATGGGTAATTGTTTGTTTGTTTGTTTGTTTACAACCCTTTAAAAATGTAAGAACTATTCATAGCTTCAGTGCTATGCAAAAACAGGGCACAGGCTAGATTTGGCCCTTGGGATTATAGTTCGTTGACTCATCATCTAGAGTCTGATGACTTGGTTTGGAGGCCCACCTGCATACATTGCTGGCTCTGCAGCATTGGCAAGTCATTTGATTACTCTAGTCTTACTTTCCTCACTAAGGGAATACTAGTACTTTACCTGTTCCCATGCAGTGTGTTTTAAGGAACAAAAGCAAGAATAAAGAGGTACTAGGTTATCTGTAGCAGGACTTTGGAGCCAGGCAGACCTGAGTTCAGTTCTACCGCCTATTAATTGTGTGACATTGGGAAAGCTATTCCATCTCTGTGCCTCAGGGGGCTAAAAGTAGGTGCAGAGCCCTTGGCACATGTTAGATGCTTAAAGCATGGTGGCTGCTACTACTGTTTTTGATACATACTTGTAGGAAATCATGATTTGGTATTATCCCTCACTGTGAATCCAGCCTTGATGTACATGGCTTTCTTACAAGGTAATTTCTAAAATCTATATTTCAAAAAAGCTTTAAATAGCCAACATTGTATGAGGTACAAGGGCCATTGCCTTGTCTGATTCAGGAAACTGTACCGTCACTTATATATCTTCCTCTTTGAAGATGTCTTACATGGAAAGTCAGTGGCAGGATTAGGCACCTGTGTTTCAGAGAGACAGTTGTTAGCTTTAAGAGAGAATCAGCAGGCTGGAGGGGAAAGGGAAAAAGGTGAATAAATAGAAAATATTTTGGCAGTCTACACCTTTCCCACATTGCACTGATTTTCAGTGGCATTAAACAGGGCTGTCTAGGTGCTCAGACTATCCCTGACTGTCTTGTTACCCTGGAGCTTCTTAGGGCTTGCATCATCATCCTCTGAATTGGTTCATTTAGTAAGTATTTATTGAACTCATATGTACTGGGGAACTCATCATTCCTGCCTTTAAGGAACACGGTATAATAGAGGAAATGAGTTCATAAACAAATACAGTGCAGTGTGGTGAATACTATAATAGAGAGCTCACAAGAAAATCAGCTCTGCTTGATTTAGGAGCTTTCTCAGGTGAGTGATTGAATTAGGAGTTAACTTGGTGAAGGGAATAGCCTGAGCAAAGGGACACAAATGTTGAGTGTGGTATGTCGAGGACCCACAGTTAGTTCATTGTGGCCAAGCCACATTTACAAAGTAGAGATGAGGCTGGAGAGGTAGGAAGGAAGACATGCTATACCATGTTAGGATTACAGACTTTCTTCTATAGGAAATGAAGGACTCAAAATTGGAGTGTGACATGGTCAGGCTGCATTTTAGAAAGCTCGCTTCATTTGAGTAGTGAGAGCAGATTACTGTTCATGCTATCTGCCAGCAGGTTTCCTGTAAGCCTCACAAATTCCCTGTTCCAATGCAAGCGGTTGCTTTATATATTATAATCTTAAGACCAGAGGCATTTTAGGTAGAACAGTACAGAATTAAATTCATGAAATCTTGGCCTTTAAACAGCAATAAGATTTAGTAGATTTGTTCTTTTCTCAAGGAATTGATTGGTGAAATATCATGTCCCATTCATTAAGAATAAAAAAACAAAATAAAATGTCTGTTTACCCTGTAGGTTTGAAATTAAAACTTCTTGATCCCAACAAGATTCCCAAGGCTTCAATGACGAGTGGTTTGGTTCAGCAGTTCCAACATACAGTCCTTCCCTCAGTGACTCCCTTGGCAACCCTTATCTGCACTCTGATAGCCATATTGGTAAGAACCCAACAGATGGTACTCATTTCTTGGGTTTTCTCTGCTTTTCTTTTGTGTGGCTGATTAAATTTCAAGTTTTTCCAACTGCAGGATAAATACCATGGCTGTAATTCTTCTGCAGATTGAAGCACTTCCTAGCAATTCTTAGAGTAACTTTGAACACCATGAGGAAGGATTACCAGTAAAGCCTTTGTGAGAGGGATTCTTACTAGTGGCTCTTAGACCATCTGTTCACCCTGGGGTGAGGAAAGAGGAAAAAGGAAAAGCCCAGGGAGGAGGAGACGCAAACCATGCTATGGAGAAAGAGGAAAATGTTTGTCACAGGGAGATCCAGATTTTGGTTTTGTTTTTCTCATCTTTGGCTAAATGATCAAAATTCCAGATGAAATCTGGATGGCATGGATGTTTTGCCTTGATGGTGATAATGAGTTGAGAGTCAACAATTGCTTTTTGAGCATCAGATAAGAGTCTATTATGAATCAGATGCTGTTAGAGGCTTCATACATTGTTGTTTTCATTATAAAAACGAAATTGGGCCGGGTGCGGTGGCTCACGCCTGTAATCCTAGCTCTCTGGGAGGCCGAGGCAGACGGATTGTTTGAGCTCAGGAGTTCGAAACCAGCCTGAGCAAGAGTGAGACCCCGTCTCTACTAAAATTAGAAAGAAATTAATTGGACAACTAAAAATATATAGAAAAAATTAGCCAGGCATTGTGGCATATGCCTGTAGTCCCAACTACTCGGGAGGCTGAGGCAGGAGGATCGCTTGAGCCCAGGAGTTTGAGGTTGCTGTGAGCTAGGATGATGCCACAGCACTCTAGCCTGGGCAACACAGTGAGACTCTGTCTCATAAAAATAAAAAAAAAAATGAAATTGAATTATAAACAACTCTACTGACAGTTACACTCATCTTTAATTTTGGTTTCTAAATGACTCAAATGTACTAGCAAGCCACCTGACCCCACTTAATTATGTGGCAGTACAGGTATATAGGTAATTAAGCTCTGCTGGCCTACTTGTTCACAGGTTTTAACCGAGACAAAACTCTTTTTCTAAAATATCAGCCTTGTAAGCTGCATATAGAAGGCCATCGTTTTGTTGTAAATTACATTCCAGCCCACAAAGCTAGATGTTTATTTGTTTATATGGTAAATCTAATTTATTAACCCCAAAATATCTGTGAACTTTTGTAGTTTGACCTAATAGTTTCAGTTACTATTAACAAAGTGAAGATGTAATAAGTTATGAGTGTATCCCAGAACTTAATTATCATTTATATTAATTTTGAAAAATGAATTAATTTTAATGAGTGTATACTTCCAAATGCCTATTTTTTTTGCGTTTTTATGTTAACTTTTGGTGGACTGTGCACAAAGTGATGAATTATCCCAGTTTCCTGAAGAATTGTTGAACATGTACTATTTTTGAGAGATGATGCAAATTGTGCTCACCTGAACTCTATTTCTGTGAAGTCTATTTTAATGACACTGAAGTTTTATCTTTGCCTGTTATTTCTAGCCCTCTGTTTTCTGTCTTTGGTTTAAACCCCAAGGGCCCAGAGGCTTTCTCCGATGTCTAATTCTTTGTGCCTTGAGCTCCTTCATGTTTGGGTGGCATGTCCATGAAAAAGCCATTCTCCTAGCAATTCTTCCAATGAGGTAAGCAGATAGCTCAGTCAGTTGGCATTTCTGGCATATTTCACAATGATCTTATTATTTTCTATTTGCTCTGTCCCTTCTTGTCATGTTCACTGGGATAGGCAAAGATGTACAGGAACAGATTTCCATTAGGGCAGGGCAGGGATGCTTAACTTGGGATCCTTGGACCCATGAAGGTTCTGAGGTATACAAAGATGCATTATTGCTTCTGCATTTTTGGTGAGGCATGCTGTAGTGCTCAAGTACCAGGACACCAGGCTTTTCGCCCTGGATATTGAGTGGTAACATGTTATGGAAAAAACGTGGGCTGTGGTGTCATTCCATCTGCGAAATTAAGGTCCCCTAGTTCCTTGTTAAGTGTTGTTAATCAAAGTAAGGATTAAGGCCGGGCGCGGTGGCTCATGCCTGTAATCCTAGCACTCTGGGAGGCCGAGGCGGGCGAATTGTTTGAGCTCAGGAGTTCGAAAGCAGCCTGAGCAAGAGCGAGACCCCGTCTCTACTAAAAATAGAAAGAAATTAATCGGACAACTAAAAATATATAGAAAAAGCTAGCCGGGCATGGTGGCGCATGCCTGTAGTCCCAGCTACTCGGGAGGCTGAGGCAGAAGGATTGCTTGAGCCCAGGAGTTTGAGGTTGCTGTGAGCTAGGCTGACGCCACGGCACTCTAGCCCGGGCAACAGAGCGAGACTGTCTCAAAAAAAAAAAAAAAAAAAAAAAACAAAGTAAGGATTAAGTCCATTCTGGAATAATACCTAACATTCATACCACACTTCAATTTTCCCAGAACTGTTTTTGTTTTGCATTCTTTCTTTTGAGCATTACAACAACCTTTAAGATAATCAAGATAAACAAGTTATTATTCCTTTTATTAACATCTGCAGAAACTAGGGCTTCAGAGAGTTTGTGACTTGTCCAAAGTCACACAGCTAGCAAGCAGCAGAGTTACGACTTAAACCTGAATCTTATGATGCTGAATCTTGTGATCTTTTCACTGTGCCATGCTAAAAAGAAACATTTTAAATGTAGTAGTGTCCATTTTATGCATAATTAAAACCCAATAGATAGATAAATGGTAATAGAATCAGCCTTTTTTTCTTGGTATTTTTCTTAAATCTTGAGAAATCATTTAAGCTCTGAAAGAACATTAAGCAAATTTGTCAGGTCACTGTATGGCTTCCATAGGTTCATTTCACGTGGAGTATCCAGATTAAAACTTAGAGCAAAACGTTTAATGTTTTTAGTCTGTATTCATACTGAACACCAGCAGGTGCAGAGCATTGTCCCAGAGATGAGCTATAGGTTGGAAATGAAACTCCAAGTCTTGTTTCACTGCCTGCCACCACTAGGCAGCTCCCAACCCCACAATGTCTCTTTCTTTAAAGAAGGCAATTACTCAGGAAAGCAAGATTCTTTTTTGGCTATTCCCTAATTCAGTTTGGTACATTGTATTGATTGCTTAATGTTTCCTAGTAAAAAATTAATATTCTCAACTGAATTGGTCTTGTAGCAAAATAAGTATTTTATGCTTTAGCCAGTTCTAGAACTATTGTAATAATAGAGGCAGTTTATTTAAGCTATTTGCAAATGTAATATCAGTTGTTGTTTTAAGAAATTATTATAATAATTTTTTTTTCAGCCTTTTGTCTGTGGGAAAAGCAGGAGATGCTTCAGTTTTTCTGATTCTGACCACAACAGGACATTATTCACTCTTCCCTCTGCTCTTCACTGCACCAGGTAAACAGCTTCGTTTTAGAGAGATATATTTGACTACCATGCCCTTTTCATCGAGGCCTGGAGATTAATACTATCTGATTTAAACAACCTTAAAATCTCTTGGAAGGAGATCCCATCCATTCTCTTAAATAAAACTCCAATTTGAAAAATAAATAAATAAATAAAACTCCAGTTTGCCCCTAATCCTCAGTATCTTTAGATGTCACAAAAATGCAAAAGTAAGTTCAAAAAGCATTATTAGCACTATATAGTTGTGTCCAGTGTGCTTATATTACTTTAAGCATCATAAATGTTTCTCTTATCGGCTAAATTATCACAGTTTTTTTTTCTGTTCTTTTCACAGAACTTCCCATTAAAATCTTACTCATGTTACTATTCACCATCTATAGTATTTCCTCACTGAAGACTCTGTTCAGGTAATTCAAAAAAATATATTTAAAACTATATTTACTTTTATTAAATATTTACTCCGAATGGTCATATGAGCCTTTTAAAATTTACTTTTAAGGCCGGGTGTGGTGGCTCATGCCTATAATCCTAGCACTCTGTAAGGCTGAAGTGGGAGGATTGCTTGAGCTCAGGAGTTCGAGACCAGCCTGAACAAGAGCAAGACCCTGTCTCTACTAAAAATAGAAAAATTGCCCGGGTGTTGTGGTGTGTGCCTGTAGTCCCAGCTACTTGGGAGGCTAAAGCAGGAGGATCACTTGGCCCAGGAGTTTGAAGTTGCTGTGAGCTAGGCTGATGCCATGGCACTCTACTCAGGGCAACGGAGTGAGACTCTGTCTCAAAAAAAAACACAAAAAACAAAACTTATTTTTAAGTTATAACAATAATATAACAACATTACAAAAAATTAGTAGAGGGACAAATTACCCATAATCCCATCACTCAGATATAACAACACAGGTTGTGTCTTTAGTCCGGGGGAGTATTTGAGGAGGACTACCCAAATTAAAACTTTATATAAAAACTAAAAAATGGAATGTAAAACATGTGTTATAAATAAAATCACATAAATACAAATACATATGGAAAAAAACTAAAAGATATTATGTAAAAATTCTTGTTATAGAATTATGGGTAGAATTTTTTTCTCTTCTAAACTTTATGTAATGTTATCTATGTAACTTTTAAAAGCTTACTGATGGTTCATATCTGATCGTGTCCATAAAAACTCATATAATTAACTACTTTAAAACTCAATTATAACCACATGACCCAGCAATTCCACTCCTAGGTCATACCCAAAAGAATTGAAACCAGGGACTCAACAGATACTTGTGCACCAATATTCATTTCAGCGTTATTCACAATAACCAAAAGATGAAAATAGCCCAAATGTCCATCAACAGATGAACAGATAAATAAAATATGGTATATACATACAATGGAATGTATTCAGTCAGAGAAAAGAATGAAGTTCTGATACATGCTACATGAATGAATCTTGAAAACATTATGCTAAGTGAAAGCCAGACACAAAAGGACAAATATTGTATAATTCTACTTATATGAAATTCTAGAATAGGCCAATTCATAGAGACAGAAAGTAGATTAAAGGATGGGGAGGCAGGGGAAGGAAAGCAATTTTTAATGGTTTCGGAGTTTCTGTTTGGGGTGATGAAAATGTTTTGAAAGTGGATAATGGTGATGGGTGCACATTATCAATATACTTAATGCCACTAAATTATGTATTAAAAATGATTAAAATAACAAATTTTATGTTATATATGTTTTACCAAAATAAAAAATAATTTTTAAATCTTCAATTATATATTATTTATCATGTTTTTAGTCCAGTGACACAGCATCTAGCCCCTTTCCCTCCTCCCAATGCAGAGCTGATTCTCTTTGAGAGCCTAAGCTACACAGCAGCGTAGGTAGATGACTGGGTAAATTCGAATTGTTGAGATAATATAATATCATTATAATATATTAATATCATTTTTCTAAATGTGAAATGTAATGCATTCTTTTCACTCTGGCCTTGGCTATAATTCACATCGAGACAGTGCAGATGGGGAAGTTTTAGCTGGGAAATGTTTGCTAAACCAGGATGACTCATCTAAAATCAGATTTTTCTCTCCTTTTTTCTTCAGAAAAGAAAAACATCTTTTTAATTGGATGGAAACTTTCTACCTCCTTGGCCTGGGGCCTCTGGAAGTCTGCTGTGAATTTGTATTCCCTTTCACCTCCTGGAAGCTGAAGTACCCCTTCATCCCTTTGTTACTGACCTCAGTGTATTGTGCAGTGGGCATCACATATGCTTGGTTCAAACTGTATGTTTCAGTACTGACTGACCCTCCTGTTGGCAAGACAAAGAAGCAATGAATAAAGGAGCTGCTTGGATGTATGCCAGGCAATTATTTCATGGGAAATTAATCAGAACTTGAAGAAAATTGCTGGTGGCATGAGCAATTCATTTCAATAGATCTGTTTGGAGGAGCATTCTTCCAACCTTGGCCTTGCCCAGCCTAGCAACTTGATTGTCACCATGGTGAGAAGCCACTTGCCCTCCATAAGCCGTGAAACACATCTGAAAAAAATCTTGCCTTTCCCTGTTAAAATTGTCTGAGATCATGCAGACTGCTGTGCTTGCTCAAGCCAAACAGGGGTCTGATTAACAGCATAATTATTTGTAGCCTTTGCTAACCATTGTCAAGATATAAAACATAATTAGACTCCTATGCTAAGGGAAATATAAATAAAATGCCATTTTGTATTTCTGCACAAAAAATTTTTGGATCATTACCAGCTCCTACATTTTCCTGTTGGCATGCACACAGGCAGATGGTGTACTGTCCCCATTCTGTACACCTTGTTCCAGGAGATTTTTTTTTTTTCACTGAAATTATACTATGACAATACTCACAAAGCCAAGGGGAGTATTTAATGTACTGGTTTGGCCAGGCAGCAGAGACTACAAACCACAGGTACTCTTATATCGAGTTAAGGACATCTTGTACAGCTCATTTATTCTAACAGCAAACACTGCAGTTTTGTTAAGGCTGCCACTTAAACCTTTCCTCATGTGAGTGAACTGAAGTGGTTTTTGCTATCTGGTCTTGTCCTCTCCCTTCCTTAAGAGTACTCCATATGCACTTTTTATCCAGGACCTCAATTTGCTTAATACCTGCTGCACATTCAAATTCAGCCAACATTTATCTAGCCAACACTAGGAACTTTCACACATTTTATTTACCCATTATTCCCTAAGAAGAGAAGACAAAGTCCAAGGTCAGTGGCATCCTGGGATGAAATCCAGCTATCCCATCTCTTAAATCTACTCCATTTTCCCGTACTTCTTGGGGATTTTGCCAAAGGGGGAGGGAAGCATAGCCCCTCTAGCCTATCTTCCTCTCCACAGTCTCCCCTGTACCCTGTGTTCCAGCTGTCCTAACAACTTAAAATTCCCAGTGTGCCATGCTATTTTGTACCTCTACTTCCTTTTATTCATCCTGCTTCCTCTGTCTCCTTTCTGCTGACTTTTCCACCCTGTCATCCAATTAGATAAACTGCTACCATGTCTGTGAATATAAAGGTAGGATGGCATAGTGATTAAGAGTAGGGGCCCTGGAGTCTTACAGCCTGCTTGTAAATTCTACCTCCGTCTTTTATTTTTTTTAATCTTGTAGACATGTTATTTAACCATCTTTTGCCTCAATGTCCTCATCTCAGAAGAGCACTCAGATTTATTTTTTACAGTTTTCCTGACAAAGAACAGATAACTGATTAAGCAGGGTGGGATGATCACCTCTTAAGGCAGCCCCTGCCATATGTACAGCTGTTTGTTAGGGCATTTTTAATGCTGAATTAATTAATATTTTTCCTCCTCTGGCTTTCACCTATTGGTTTCTGGCACAGTACATAATGAGGTTCTACTCACATACACATGACAGCCTTTCAAGTGATACACAGAGAAAACCCCACATTGTGTCCCTTTCTGTTGAGTGGCTACTATGTGCCAAGTACTATGCTAGGCATTATCTCTTTATCTTTACTAAAATTGCAAATCAAATTCATTCAGTATCCCTTTAGAAAAATACTGGATTCCTGTTGAATGTTATGCCCTGTGCTAGGTGCTAGAGATCAAAAAGTGAACAAGAAAGACATATTCCTGCCCACAAGGAACTTACATTCTAGTGGCTATAGTATCCTAAGAGCCAGGAAGAGTGGTGCAAGTTGAAGTTGGAAAACTAGGCAGGGCCCAAATTATGCAGGGTCTTTTAGGCCATTGTAAGGAATTAGATTTTATTCTAAGCCAAATGGGAACAAAAGAGTTTAAGATTTTCTGAGTTACAGTTTCATGTACATGGAGCAAAATTCAAAAGGTTCCCAGCCACCCAGTTTCCCTACCAAGGGGCAACCATTGTTACCAATTTCTTATGTATCATTCCAGAGATACCAGAGATATTCTGTGTATAAAGAGGTATTTATACTTCCCCCCTCCTCACTACTGCACTTGACTAATCTTTAAAAAAAAAAGTATATATACATAAATGACAACATTGTGCACACTTTTGACCTCACTTTGTGTGTGCATGTGCACACACACATGTGCTTAGTATATTTTGGATTTCATTCTATTATCAGTACATGGAAAATACATAGTATATAGCAAGTACATAGCAAGACCCTGTCTCTACAAAAAATAAAAATAATTAGCTGGGTGCGGTGGTGTGTGCCTATAGTCCCAGCTACTTGGGAGGTTGAGGCAGGAGGATCACTTAAGCCCAGGAGTTTTGAGATTACAGTGAACTATGATGACACCACTGCACTCTAGCCTGGGCAAGAGAGGGAGACCCTGTCCTCCCTTAAAAAAAAAAAGTGACATTTATATGATGCAATATTATACAATAGTCAAAAGGAATGAACCTGACCTTTCTGTATCATCATGGATAGATCTCAAAAACTTTACATGGAATGAAAAGCAAGACAAAAACAGAAATTATGAATCATACTATTTAGGTTAAAAAACACATAATACTAAATATATATATAATTATTTTTAAAAATGGACTGGAAATATACACACTAAACTCATAATGGTTGTCTCCAGGGAAGAAAGGAAAGGAGACTTTGGTTTTATCTGTAGTGTTTTATTTCCTTTTAAAAAGGAGGGGCATAAAAATAAATGATAAAAATGTAAAAAGTTGTTAATTCTGGGTATTAGAATGTGAGTATTTTTCATATTGTTCTTTGTAATTTTTTGTATCTTAAGTTTCTTTAAAAAAAACAAAACAAAAACAGCCCTAGATTGGGCTCAGAAAGAGGATGTGCTGGGGAGGGGTGGGCTAGGCTTCTGTTAGGGAACCCTTTGCACATTGGTAGATTTTTTGTAGAATCCAAGCCTTGGCTGGTCTATTCGATACACAAGCATTTCATCATGGTTTTGTTTTTGTTGTTGTTTTTTTTCCCTGAGACAGGGTATCACTCTTTCACCCAGGTTAGAGTGCAGTAATGTGATCATAGCTTGCTGCAGTCTTGAACTTCTGGCCTCAAGTGATACTCCAAAGTGCTGAGATTACGGGTGTAAGCCATCACGCCTGGCCATATTTCATCATGTTTTAACAAAGTATTTGTAATCATTTTAAATGTTTGCCTAATAGTTTATCTGGTATTCAGAATTTACATAATCCTCCTGAGGAACATTTTGGTGGTTTTCATTTGTCAATGAAAAAAAAGACCAAACTCTGTAAAATAATTTTAAACAGATTTACTCTGAGCCAAATTTGAGGCATGACCCGGAGTCACGCCCAAGAGGCTTTGAGCAAGTGAACTCGTTATGGCTGGGTTACAGTTTGGTTTTACACATTTCAGGGAGACAGAGGTTACAGGTAAAGTCATAAATCAATATGTGGGAGGCATACATTGCTTTGGCCCGAAAAGGTAGGCCATCTGGAAGGTGAGGGGGCTTACAGGTTATAGGTGAGTTTAAAGATTCCTTGGCTTGTAATTAGTTAAAGACATGAAGCTTTGTCTAAAGGCTTGGCATGTTTCAACATAAGGAGCTTATCAGAGATAAGCCACTGGACACAGATTTGTGGCGTAAATTGAGGCCCTTCAGGTGTGTCTTGCATACCCTTAGGCCTGTTAATGGGTTACAAAGGATGTCTCCAAGAAGGGAAGCGGGGCATCATGAGGCATGTCTGACCTCCCTCCTCCTGGCAGACAACTTAGTTTTAGGATATTCCTTTGGCCACGAGGGGGTCCATTCAGCCTGCCGGTGGGGGAGTGAGCCTTAAAATTTTATTTTAGTTCACACATTCTTTTGATACAATTTTAAAAGAAATGCTGTGGTTAAAACTTTGTTCAAAAAAACTTTTTCATGCCATATTATTTTCTTCTTTTTTTTTTTTTTTTTTTGAGACAGAGTCTCACTCTGGCCCTGGCTAGAGTGAGTGCCGTGGCGTTAGCCTAGCTCACAGCAACTTCAAACTCCTGGGCTCAAGAGATCCTACTGCCTCAGCCTTCCGAGTAGCTGGGACTACAGGCATGTGCCACCATGCCCGGCTAATTTTTTCTATATATTTTTAGTTGTCCAGATAATTTTTTCTATTTTTTTAGTAGAGACGGGGTCTCGCTCTTGCTGAGGCCGGTCTCGAACTCCTGAGCTCAAACAATTCGCCCGCCTTGGCCTCCCAGAGTGCTAGGATTACAGGCATGAGCCACTGCGCCCGGCCCATATTATTTTCATAGGACAGATTCCTAGATGTGTAATTACTGGGTCAGAGGGTATGCACTTTTGAAACATTTTTTGCCTTTCAGAAAGCTTCTAATATACACTCCTTTGGAAGATCCTAACATGAAATATTGTCAGGTAGTGCTTTTTAAAGGCATCACTTATTCGATAACTGTAGGAGATCACAGGGATGGGGAGCAAGGGGAAAGTTCCTCTTGGCCCTCTGAAGCTTTGCTGAAAAATCAACTCACAAAAGGCAGATAAATTGGAGAAAAGGCATACAAATTTATTTAATGTGTATACACATGAGCCTTCAGAAAGAAGACCCAAAGATACGGGGGAAATTGTCCATTTTTATGCTTAGGTTCAACAAAGTATGAACTGCCATGTAGAAATATGACTGGACAAAAAGGGTTTGATCTAATGCTAATAGATTGAGTGGGGAAACCCAGCAAAGCCTGTCTGTCTAGCTTCTTCTTGGCCTCTTTGAGCATGAATTCCTTCTGGGTATGGGGCAGGACCCTCTCTTCAATGAGGGGATGTTATTGTAACAGAGTAGTTGCCCCTCTTTCCATAGATATAGAAGAGTAATACTGACAGTGGGGAACATAACAGAGAAAATGGCCTGAAAGCCTGAAAAAAAAAAAGACAAAAATGTTTTCTGTTTCTTTAAAACCTCACTCTTTTTTTTTTTTTTTTTTTGAGACAGAGTCTTACTCTGTCACCCAGGCTAGAGTGCCGTGGTGCCATCATAGCTCACTACAACTTCTAACTCTCAGATCCAAGAGATCCTCCAGCCTCAGCCTCCTGAGTAGCTGGGGCTACCAGCTAATTTTTTCTACTTTGGGGTAATTTTTTCTATTTTTAGTAGAGATGGGCCTCGTTCTTGCAGAGGCTTGTCTTGGAATTCCTGACCTCAAGCAATCCTCCCACCTTGGCCTCCCAGGGTGCTAGGATTGCAGGCTTGAGCCACCAAGCTAGCCTAAAACCTCACTCTCTGTGGAAACTAAAACCTACATCCCTGCCCCAGGCCAGTGGCTGGGAGGAGCAGGGGAGTGTCCTTTGTTCTTCATGCTACAGGAAATGGCTCAGCCTAATGTCAAGATGGAGGTCCAGGCTGGGGAGGTCCGGGTGGGCCTCCCAGGTGGGCAGAGGCCAGTGGATTATTTTAGGAGATGGGACCATCAGAATTATCAATTGTTAAACAATTGCCTGAAGCTAAATGGCCTCCCTTTAAAAGTTCTGTATTTCTGCTTATTATGAGGATGAAGGAAGTTTTTTTTTTTTTTTTCTTGAGACAGAGTCTCACTGTGTTGCCTGGGCTAGAGTGCCGTGGCGTCATCCTAGCTCACAGCAACCTCAAACTCCTGGGCTCAAGTGATCCTACAGCCTCAGCCTCCCGAGTAGCTGGGACTACAGGCATGCGCCACCATGCCCAGCTAATTTTTTCTATATATTTTTAGTTGTCCGATTAACTTCTTTCTATTTTTAGTAGAGACAGCGTCTTGCTCTTGCTCAGGTTGGTCTCGAACTCCTGAGCTCAAACAATCCGCCCGCCTCGGCCTCCCAAAGTGCTAGGATTACAGGCGTGAGCCACCGCGCCCGGCCTGAAGGAAGTTTTTAGACAAGAGTCTCAATCCTCCTCATTTGCTGGCAAATTAATAAATCTTTCTTTCCTTCTCCTCAAACCACTTGTCCTTGTTCTTCTGATACAGGCTGGGGGACAAGTGCTGAGCTTTTGGTAACGTTATGACCTACAGTCAAACAAGGCAGGTCAGATAATTTCTTTGTGGCCAGTTTTTGTACAGAAAAATGGAGGAAAAGTCAGAGTAACATTTTTAGGTTTTATGGCTGGGTTTGGGGAAAAGGGTTCTGGTGTCTGTGACCTGCCTTGGGGAAGAGGGATTCTAATTTCCATAGCTAGCCTCAGGAAGAATGGGAGTGGGACCCGGGAGGGCAGGAAAAGGTCAGAGAAAAACTTTTGCTTCTAAGGCCTTCATTTTGAGGGGTATTGTTTTCTGAGCCCCAACATCACACTTAGCTAGTATTTAATTCTTCCATTTGGGAAATCAATATCTTTGATGCATATACCTTTCCATAAACCTCTGGGTTAGTCAGCATTTCCCTGGATAAAATGTTGATCCCACTAATGAACAGACATAACAGGAAGATATTTTAGTTCAATATCCAGAAGGGCATTTAAAGAGAGAGCGCTACAAAGATAGAAGCTCCCCATTATTGTAAGTGGGTGAACAGAGACTGGACAATTGTTTGGCAGAATGTTATAAATTTCTTCTTTCCTTCATTCCTCAAACCTTTTTTTTTTTTTGAGACAGAGTCTCACTCTGTTGCCTGGGCTAGAGTGCCGTGGCATCAGCCTAGCTCACAGCAACCTCAAACTCCTGGGCTCAAGTGATCCTTCTGCCTCAGCCTCCCAGGTAGCTGGGACTACAGGCACGCATCAGTTCCAGCCGCACAGTGTCGCAAGGGCGGGCAGGCCAGAGCAGCTTGGGACACGGGTCCCCACACAGCCTCCAGGGGGGGGGCGGGGGGGGTCTCACTCTTGCTCAGGCTGGTCTCGAACTCCTGAGCTCAAGCAATCCTCCCCCATTCCTCAAACTTTTAAGGAACACCCTCAGTCATGTGCAAGTACCTAAAGACTCAGGTGAAACATTTTAGGGTGCTGCCTCCAAATCTGAATTTCTAGAGAGTAGGCTAAATGATCCAGTCCTGGGCCTCTCTGAATTCTTTGCTGTTGATTATACCTTAATTTTAGGCTTAGGATGGTGTGGATGTCCGAATGAACGCCTGGAAATCCAGAAAATGAAAACTAGCTTTTATGGAATTTCAATTCATTACGTGAACTGTTGTAGTGTGGAGGGCGCGAACAGACCACGAGAGAATTCAATGGAGCCAAATTGAGAGTCTTTATTAGCTGGCCAGCGACCACCTCTGCCCGCATAAAAGCAGTACAAGAGAGTGGCACCAGTCTTTAGCTTCTACAGGAATTTTATACCAATTTGAGGGAGGCTACATGGCATAAAACAGGTATTCTGAGAACAAAGGAAACAAAGGCAGGATGTACAATCAATATTTCAATGACACAGAGTCCTGAGATCTGGCTGTTCTCACAGATCTCTGGTGCCCGAAGACAGATTACAATCAATGAAGTAAAGCACAATCTAAGTTATAGATTAAACACAGAACATTTTTCCAGTTACACATCGGTCATAAGTTGAACCCTTGACATACTTTGCGTAGGGCGATCCGGCCCTGAATTCTAACAATTGCTAACCGCAAGCTTTGTACAGAAGCAAATAGCGTTCATTAAAGTTCCCTAGCAACTATAATTGCATTATACCTTTTTATTCATTAACCCTTCAAAGCATCTCAGCTCACTACAGAACTAAAATAAAATCTCAAGCCTCCCACACCCTTCACCAGCTGACTGACTGGACTCTCTCTTGGCCAAGGAGATACTAAATTGCCTGCCACCAGGAGGGAGGTCAGACACGCCTCATCATGCCCCCCTCCCTTCTTAGAGACATCCTTTGTAACCCCTTAACAGGCCTAAGGATATGCAAGATAAACCTGCAGGTCCTCAATTTACACAACACATATATGTCAGGTGGCTTGTCTCTGATTAACAGACCTCCTCATCTTAAAACATTTCAAACCTTTGGACAAAGCTTCATGTCTTTAACCAACTACAAGTCAAAGAATCTTTAAACCCACCTATAACCCGTAAGCCTTCCCCTCCCCTTCCAGATGGCCCACCTTTTCGGGCCAAACCAATGTATGCCTCCCACATATTGATGTATGACTTTACCTGTAACCCCTGTCTCCCTGAAATGTGTAAAACCAAACTGTAACCCAGCCATAACGAGTTCACTTGCTCAAGGCTTCTTGGGCGTGGCTCCGTGTCATGGTCCTCGAATTTGGCTCATAATAAATCTCTTTAAAATTCTTTTACAGAGTTTGGCTTCTTTCCGTTAACAATTACGTCTCTCAAAACTACCCACCATGCCCATTTGTGGATGTGGGAGGCAAAAATAAATCTTTGCTGAAGGGGCATTCAGGGGCAGGGGAGGAGAGGCAATTCTGGATGGAGGAGTAAGGAAAAAAAATTCAGTGCCTCTTAGTCTTCGCTCAGTTTGGCTTATTTGGTGGGGGTAGCAAGCCCCTGAATCCCACTCTCACCAAAAGAATCAGAGCCGGCGCACGAGCAAGGTGAGCCATTTAGTAGCCCGGAACCTCCCGTACCGGGTTACGGCGGCAGCACGCACCGGGAAGCTTTTCGGCAATGGACCATTCCTGCGCCATGTCCTTCAGCCCGGTGCTTAGAGGAGGGAGCTCGCCGCTTACGTCCGGCCAGAGGTCGTGGTGATTTTTCTTGTAAATCAGTCTGAGGCCAGGCCTCAAGTGGAAACGGAGTCACTATGCTGACCGGACGGCAGAGCCGAGTGCCCTTACAGTTCCTGCCGGATGAGGCCCGGAACCTGCCCCCGCCCAAGCTGACCGACCCGCGGCTCCTCTACACGGGCTTCCTGGGCTACTGCTCCGGCCTGCTTGATAACGCGATCCGGCAGAGACCGGTGATGTCGGCTGGTGAGGGCTGTGCGGGCGGGATCGGCTGTGGGGAGAGGGGGTCGCAGGGCTGCAGACCAACCCTGTCGTAGGCCCTCCTTAGGAGCTCTGCTTTTCCGTGCCTTTTCTGGCCCCAACTCGCCTCCCCGAGTCTTCCCTGTCCGGTTAGCTCTTCAGGACCGGGAAGAGCCGGAGTGACATTTGGCACTTGAAGAAACTGAGATGCAATGAAGCAGGGACTTACCCGTGACCCCACAGAGCGTCTGTGAAGGATCCGGGACTGCTCCCCTCTTCAGTTTGTGTTGCACTCTGTGCAAAAATAAGCCATGACTCCCTCCATCCCATGCACTACTGACACTCTACCAGCATTAGAGCATTTAGTCCTCAGAACACTCTTTGGGGAGGTATTATCCACAAATGAGGAAATAGCCTATGAGAGGTTACAGCGGTTTGCCCAAGGTCATCTGGCTAGTAAGTAGCAGAGCCTGTTTTTAGACCTCGGAGTGTATATTCTAAACCAGTGCTTCTCAAACTTAACGTGTATGTGAATAACTTAGGGATCTTGTTAACATATAGACTCTGATTCATTAGGTCTGGGGAGAGGCCGGATGTTACCAACAAGCTCCTGGATACTGCTGCTGCTAGTCTGGGGACCACAGTTTGAATGGGAGGCTCTAAACCACTGAGCTATATTTCCTACTAGTATGTTGCTGGCCACCTGTCAGAGACTGAGTATTCTGATAATAGCCAACACAGCTGTGCTAAAGACAATAGATTTCCAAAGGGCAAAGAAGAGAGGAACTTTGGAAGAGATATCTTTCAACTTAGCTTTGATTTTTCAGGCAGAACTGAGAGACAGCTTTCTAGGCCCATAGGCTACTGGGAGCAAATGGAGGCAAGGGCCTCTGAATGGGGGCGTGTTAGATAATTGAGTGAATGGACAGGGTTAGGGGGACAAGGCTACAGTGGATATTTAGGTAGATCATGGCAATTTATTCTCTAGGCAGCCAGGAACCTTACAAGCTTTTGAGAGCTGGGAGATTGCAGTGATCAGACCTGTATCTTTGTTTTTTTTTTTTTTTTTAATTTCAGCATATTACGAGGGTACAAATATTTAGGTTACACATATTGCCTTTGCTCTGCCTGAGTCAGACCTTCGGATGTGTCCATCCCCCAGACAGTGCTTACTGCACCCGTTAGGTGTGAATATACCCATCCCCTCCTCCCCCGCAGACCTGTATTTTAAAAGGTCAACTTTGTCAGCAATGTGAAGCATTGGTGCCAAGGAGCACAGTTAGGAAGAAAGCTCATGCAGTGGTTCAGGCAATAGGAATCACCCCACTTGTGCCTCTTTAACCTTCTTCCAGCTGTATGTCATGCCTGGAGGTCGGCTCCTAGCCCATCAAATCCCAGCATTTTCAGTGCTCAAATAGTACTGAAGTCCCATCTCCCTTGGACATGACCCCTCACTACAGGAAGGAGTGATCTTTGTCCATTTCTGCCTCTGGGAACATAGGATTTCCTCCCTTTTCATCACCACTCCACATTTGCTCAAGCCTGTCACTTGGTATAATTAAAGAGCTCCACTTTGGAACTAAACAGCCTTGCTCCACTGCTTCCCAGCTGTGGTCTCTTTGGGTAAGCAAGTTACATGATCAGGCTAATCTGAGCCAAAGTTTCATCTATAAAGTGAGAATAATTAATTTTTGCATATTTGTTGTGAGAGTTGAGATTCTATAGGTAAGATGTCTAAAACAAAAGGTGCTGGACAAAGCTCCCCTGAACTCTTTTCTGTGCCAGGCACCATGTTACATAAGTGCATAGGTGGGGTGAGGAATACTGCCCTTACGGAGTTCCTAATCAAGGAGTCAGGGAGACAAAGAAGTAAACAGTTGATTACTGGTTTGGTATGATAGATACATGTTTTGATAGAATTGGGTGAGCAGAGCACACTTTGGGAGCATGAAGGAGGTACAGATGGGAGGGAGAATGTTCCAGAGGAAGTAGAGGTTGGCTGAAATGGGAAGTATGTACCACTTAATCTCACCTCATTATTGTCAGTTTAGCAGTTTGTGCCTTTCTAGAAAACTGAAGAGGATAGTAGTTAAGAGAATATGATTTTGGATTTGACAGCACCTCTACCCTACTAGCCATTTGATTCTGGGGAAGTTCCCTATCTCTGTGAGATGAGATAATGTATATAAAGTACTTAGCACAGGAGTGGGGATCAGAGTTCCTGAGCTCATTGAGATTGCCTAAATTGCTTTGGAAAATTTAGGTCCTGAAGACTTTATTGAAATGGTTATCCTCAGCATTTATTGAATGCATATTGTGTTTATCTAGCCCATTGCTGATATATATATTAATAGGTGCTCAATAAGTATTTATTGAATGAGTAAGTATATGTAGCTTACAAGGAATATAAAACATAGTTCCAGCCCTCCAAAAGTTTACATACCAGATGGACATATCTATTAAAAAGACAAGTTTATGCATATAGAGTAACAGATGTGACACATAAACAATATTTCTAAGAGAGTTGGGGTACATGCGGTATTTCGAGACACGCATACAATGTGTAACGATCAAGCGAGGGCAATTGGGCCATCAAACCTTTTCTTTATGTTGGGAACATGCCAATTCCTCTCTTCCAGCAATTTTGAACTGTACAACAAATTATTGCTAACTATAGTCATCCTACTGTACTATCAATAAATAGAATTTTTCTTAAGTTTTTCTCTCACCACCTTGTTGCTGGTTACCACTTAACCTGCCCTAAATTTAGAGTTAGTTGGTAATCTAAGTATAGTCTACAAAATTAAATATTTATTGATTTCTAGATTAATGTCAGTAATTTACGGAGTTCGGCAAAGAGCATGATGGCTTTCAGGTTTTGAGTCATTGAGTAAAGTAAAAAAGGGGAAAATGATTGTGGAGGGGTTGTGCATGTAATGAGTGGCAGACCACTGCTGAGAGAGAGAAGAGAGGTTAGGGAAAAAACAGGAATTGGGAAGAGGCCAGGCCATGCCTTTAGGGCTAGGATGCTGATGTCATCATTTAAAACATGGAGGCTTTTTCTTTGGGGAATATAGGTCAGCGCAGAGGGAGTATGGTCTTTGTATCTGTGGAGTCCAGTGGCATGTGGGAGAACACACTTGGTTTGCTATGTTGTGGGTAGCCCATTAGGGGAAGCAGTGGCTGTTTGGGGTAAGACAGAATGCAAAAGAGCCCCTGTTCAGTCCCAGATCATAGGAATATTTTTCATTTTTATTGTTTTGCATATTTTCCAAAATACTTTTACATACCTATGTCTTGGTTTATATACTACTACTGTGAGAAAGATAGGATAGGTATTAACTCTGTTTTAGATGTAGTAAGTTGAATTGCCCAAGACATTTATTAAATATGTATTAAGTGCTATGTGCTTATATATAAAGATAAATCAAACATTGGTTTTGCCTGGTGGTATAGACAGAAATAAATTACTGTAGCAACTTTCATGTTAATGGACGTGAGTTCACCCTTTTAACTTCAGGAGAAGTCTGGGGAGACTTCTTAGAGGAAGTCATGTCAGGGTTGAATCCTGAAGGATGAGGTGGTCACTAGGCACAGAAATAACCAGTGCATGTTATTTAGCAGCATGAAAGTTTACGTGAGGAATTAAAAGTAGTTCAGTATTGCTGGAGCACAATGTGCATATCAAGGAGCATCAGAAGGTGAAGGTGGAAGAGTTGACTCCTGAAGGGCCCTATAGGTTAGATTCAGGAGTTCGGACTCCTGTTGGACATAATTAAAGGATAGAAGGGACTGGCGAGATAGGTTTACATTTCAGTAAAATTCTTGTAGTGACGGGGTAAAAGCTGGGATCAGAGTAGAGTGGCTCTGATGAAACGAAAGGGAGACCAGTTAGTGCAAGTGAGAGAAGTTCCCCAGAGTGAGGAAAGGAAATAATTACAAGGTAGAATTGACAAGACCTAGTGACTAGATGTGGGGGAAGAGGGTAGAAAAAAGGATTACTGTGTTTGTGACTCAGATTCTCTAAATGGTCCTGTCATTCTCTGAGGTAGGCGTAAGAGGTATGAATAGGAAGGACTTGAGTCCAGTTTGGAGTATTCAGGTGAACACGGCTGACAAACATTTGGGTAAGTATGTTATTTAGCATGAGCGTCTGGGTTAGACATACAGGTCATCACCACATGGGTAGTAGATAAAACTGTAGGAATAAATGAGTTCTCCAAAGGAATGTGTGTAGGATAAGAAAAGAAGACAACTAGGAATGGAATTCTGGAATATAGCTAGAAAATCAAACCTGCAGTAAGCCTTTTGCAAAAACTGTTTCCATGAATAAAGTTCACACCTTTGGATCTCCCTTTCAGACTTTCATTTTTGGCTTTCCCTAGGTTATGTGATTTGATCCTCCCAGTGTCATTATAATAGGATGATTTTTAAAATCAGTTTTGAATAGATAATACATGTAAATGGCACAAGATTTAGAAGGTACGAAAGGAAACAGTGAAGGAATTTCTTTTTTTCTTTTTTTTTTTTTCTTGAGACAGATTCTTGCTCTGTTGCCTGTGCTAGAGGGCTGTGACATCAGCCTAGCTCACGGCAACCTCAAACTCCTGGGCTCAAGCAGTCCTTCTGCCTCAGCCTCCCGAGTAGCTGGGACTACAGGCATGTTCCACCATGCCCGACTAATTTTTTTTTTTTCTATATATTTTTAGTTGCCCAGCTAATTTTTTTCTATTTTTAATAGAGACGGGGTCTTGCTCTTGTTCAGGCTGGTCTTGACCTCCTGATCTTGAGTGATCCTCCCACCTCAGCCTCCTAGAGTGCAGGAATTTCTTAATGAGATACTTTTGTAGTGTAGCTGACTATTCTAGTAACCAATAAATATGCATATATAAATCGGGATATGGAGACAAACCAAATTGCTTTGAGAACATTTGTAGATGACTTTACCTCTGTCTCATCACATTCTGAACAGGCCCTAGAATATAGGTTAGTTGGGGTCTAAAGTTAACTTATTGAGAAAGAAAAAAAGATTTTTTTTTCCTATTCTTAGCCCAGGATTCAAGATTTTGTACTTATCTACCTTTTTCCATGAGGTATTTTATAAAACTTGAATTTTAACAGTCCTTAGGTTCTATTGATAATTGTGTTTGCAAATAATTATGTTTGTTTTTCATAATTGCCAAATTTCTTTAAGAATATGTAGGATGTCTCAAGGTCAAGGATCAAGGCTGTTTGTTTAGAATAGCCATATAGAAAAGCTTTTTTTTTTTTAAAGAAAAGAAATGCCATACCATTAAATTAAATACCTGAAATTCCCCATCTCTAATTTTATTAAAAAATATATATATATCTGAAATGTAATTCTTAATACACATTGACTGATTTTTGCTTTCTTTGGAATTTGTCATTTGAATTTCAGGTTTGCATCGCCAGCTTCTATATGTTACTTCCTTTGTTTTTTTTGGATACTATATTTTAAAACATCAAAACTATATATATGCTGTGAGGGACCGTGATATGTTTGCATATATGAAATTACATCTGGAGGATTTTCCCGAAAAAGGTATTTCAAGTTAATAGTAGAAAACCTCTTTTTACTCTGTATCATTTTCCCTGGTTAATCTTATTCATGCCTATGGCTTCAGGTACCTCCTGTACTCTTCTGTTGACTCCCACATCTTTGTCTATAGATCAAAATTCTCTTGAATTTATATATCCAATTTCTGGCTCATTACCTCTGTGTCTCTTGGACAGAAACAAAATTCATGTCCCCTCTGCCTTCCCAAACCCCCTGTTCCTCTGTGTCATGTTTCGGGGAATGGCACTACTCTCCACCTGGACACTCAAGCCAGAAGCCTGAGAATTATCTTCAGGTCTTTCTCTTTCACTTCCCATTAATCATCCAGTCTGACCAGTTCTATTTCCTGAATGTTTCTCAACTTTGAACTCTCCTCTCTCTCCCACTACCACTAGGCTGGTTTAGGCTCTGATAATGTCTTGCTTGGACTATTGAATTTGCCTTGTGAGTCATCTCTGCCTTTGGTCTTGTGTCTGCTGACAGCAAATCTGATCACACCTTTCTTTTGTTTAAAATAGCTATCCATTGCCAATAGGGTAAAATCTAGACTCCTTAGGATGGCTCATTTCCCCAGGCCGAGCTAATCGCCTGTCCTCTTTCAGAAATACTTTTCCTGGCTGGGCTCGGTGGCTCACACCTGTAATCGTAGCACTCTGGGAGGCCGAGGTGGGAGGATTGCTTGAGTTCAGTTTGAGACTTGCCTGAGCAAGAGCAAGACCCCATCTCTGCTAAAAATAGAAAAAATTAGCCGGGCATAGTGGCACGTGCCTGTGGTCCCAGCTACTCGGGAGGATGAGGCAGGAGGATCACTTGAGCCAGGAGTTTGAGGTTGCTGTGAGCTAGTTTGATGCCACGGCACTCTAGCCCAGGTGACAGAGCAAGACTCTGTCTCAAAGAAAAAAGTCTCAGTGGTTGCCAAGCCATAGCTGAGGACAAGAAAATAAAGAAATTCTTAGGGGTTTGTTTTATCTGTTTGGGCTGCTATAACAAAATGCATTGGATTGAATAATTTATGAACAATAGAAATCTATTGCTCACAGTTCTGGAAGCTGGGAAGTCCAAGGTCAAGGTGCCAGCAGATTCAGCATCTGCTGAGGGCCCACTTTCTGCTTCATAGATAGTGGCTTGTTGCTGTGTCCTCACGTGGTAGAAGGGGCAGACAAGCTCCCTTGAGTCTCTTTTGTAAGGGCACTAATCCCATTCACGAGGGCAGGGCCCTCATGACCTAATCACCTCGCAAAGTCCCCACCTCTTAATATCAGTGCATTGGGGATTAGGTTTCAGCATATAAATTTTGGGGTCACACAAACATTCAGACTATAGGGTTTCTATTGATAAAGTTATTGAATATTAATTTTCCTTTAGGAAATATAATTTTTAAAACATAATTTTAAGAGAAATCTTTTGTGATCTTTCTTTTTATAGATAGGAAGACTTATGGTGAAATTCTTGAAAATTTCCATCCAGTACGTTGAAGTCTTCAAAATGCCTGCTCCAGTTTCACTGATACATTATTTCTGAATTTTATGGAACATGTTTCCATGTCAGCTGAAGTTTATGTTAATCTGTGTTAACACCTTATAATTAAAATAATTATCATGAGTTCTCTGACTCTTTTTTTGTTGTAAGAAAAATTGGCCGGACATGGTGGCTTACGCCTGTAATCCTAGCACTCTAGGAGGCCGAGGCGGGCGGATTGCTCCAGGTTGGGAGTTCAAGACCAGCCTGAGCAAGAGTGAGACTTCGTCTCTACTAAAAAAATAGAAAGAAATGATCTGGACAACTAAATATATACGTGTGTGTGTGTGTGTGTGTGTGTGTGTGTGTGTGTGTGTGTGTGTATGTATAAATTAGCCGGGCATGGTGGCACATGCCTATAGTCCCAGCTACTCGGGAGGCTGAGGCAGGAGGATCGCTTGAGCCCCGGAGTTTGAGGTTGCTGTGAGCTAGGCTGACACCACGGCACTCTAGCCTAGGCAACACAGCAAGACTCTGTCTCAAAAAAAAAAAAATAGTTCATCAGAGAATGGTCAATTTCCATTCACCCAGTTTTAAGAAGACATCTGAAAGATTTTAAAATGGAGCTTAGTTCTAGTTTGGAGTCAGCAAACTATAGCCCAAATTCGGCCCACTGCCAATAAAGTCTTATTGGAATATAGCCATACTCATTTGTTTACATGCTGTTTATGGTGGCTTTCCTGCTACAACAGCAGAATTGAGTAGTTGTGACAGAGACCTTGTGGTCTGCAAAGCAAGTATAGAATGAGCCAGATTATGGAGCGTTTTGTGTGTCATGCAAAATCATTTTGACTTGATCCTGTGGGTATTGGGAAGTCACTAAAGAGTTTTAAATAACATGGTCCAGTTTGTATAACATTTCTGAGCTCTCTGCAATAATATAAAAGGTAGATTGGAAGGAGGTGACTCGAGGGAGAACAGAAGTCTGATAACTGCAAAGGGTCTTTGCTCTTAGACGGATTATCATGGAGAAAGTGGATTCAGTAACTGACACTGTCCACAATGGAGCTTGGTGCAATTAGAAATAAAAGACTGCAGCTAACTGGAATGAGGTTTCGCTTTATGGTTTATCAAATCCAAATGCTTGTTTGGATTTGATAAACCAAAAAGGTTTTGTTTCCAAGCTCAGATTTTATAATCAGATCAGGTTTTGGAGATAAATAAAATTGTTTCTTGATACGTGATTTCAGGTTAGGTGGTTGTACAAATACAAGCAGATGGTTTCTGGGTAAAATCAAATGAATTCCATCTCTATTCTCTTGAGTACCACTTGTAAAAAATGAAATCATGTTGGACAAAGTGCTTTAGAAATAAAGAGATGTACAAATACAAGGTATATTATTTTATTGCTTCTGCAATAAGTGGAATTACAGTTCATCTGTGCTTGGCCTCATCAGTGATCAACAAATACAAGACGGTGAACCACTCATCCCAAGGGATTCTGCTACCTCTTAGCTCTGGAGAGTAAAAAGCAAGGGCTAGAGCAAATACATAGGTGCGGGGGGGAGGGGAGGCGGGAATTCAGCCTATTCTAATAGCTCTCACTTGCCACGGGCACTTGTTCATCATGTTTAATTTTCATAAGCTCATGAGGTAGATAATATTACCCCTGTTTTGTAGATGAGGGAATTTAGGCTCCAGTGGGTTAAATAACTTGCTCAAGAGCACATAGCAAATGACTGCCAAGAGGAAGCATGTGAACTTTGGTCACATCCTAACACCTATGCTCTTTCTACTGTACTACACTGGACAGGTAACTATCCAGTCTCTCAGGAACCACTGGTCACCACCCCAAGCTGGTAAGAGGAACAAGGGAAGTTGTGAATAGCAACAGATATCCTAAAGGTGTGCAGCGACTAGAGTCCAGGAAATGGTGCTCAGAGGCAGGTAGAGAAGCATCCCAGAGAACCAAGTTGCCTTCACTTCCAGCTGCAGGTCCAGGCCTTTCCGGTCTCATCATCAGGGCTAGCGAACTGCTTCGTGGCCTCATCACAGAGTCCGCCTTTTAGCATGTTAAGGGATCTGTGGATTGCAGAAATTTGTACAAAGCCAAGTCAGTATAAATTCAAACGAATAAGGCACTGTCACATGCCTATTGAAGAAGGAAGAACAATGAAAAACTTCAAGGTTGGAAAACTGGAAGGAAAAAAAAAAACTACAGGAAAGCTGGCTGCCTTAGCACTGTTAAGAAGAATCAGGTTGTCAGAGCTGCAATAACTCATCTGATTTCTCCTCTACATTTTACTAACAGGGAAACAGACGCAGAAAGGTGAAATAAGTTGTCGAGAATCACATAGAGGTCAATGGCAGAGCCAGGACAAGAGCCCAGAGTGTTAAGCTTTTGGTATACCATACTGCCTCTGTGAATGAAAATCAGTTAAGTTAGGGTGTATTGAAGCATTATGGTGTAGAATTGCTACTCGGGTCTTTGCAGCTGTTTGGTTAATCAAGAAGTGGGGTATCTACCCAGCCTGCCATCTCCAATTCCCACCTTCTGCTCTAAGGCTCTAAGGAACACAGAAAATCCACTGGTGTGGAGGAAAAGAATTAGACTCGAGTTAGGCCAGTGTTCACATCTTGGCTCTGCCATTTACTGAGTAACACTGGACTCATTTTACTTCTCAGGCCTCTAGTTTTTTCAACTGTAAAAGGGAAGGATAATTCCATTAGGTAATTGATATTCAAGTGATTTTAAAACCATTCAAATGTCAGTTGTTATTTTTACTACTACAATTACACCCAGAGAAGTGAATTGGCTTACCAAGGCCTCACAGAACTTGAACCCAGAGCTGTTGACCTGGCCCAGTCTAATTCAAGAACCTCTGAAAGGTGGCTCAGGGAGCTTTAAGGGGAAGAGGGAAGCAGGGTTGAGGTTGACAGTTTGGGCTTGAGGTGGGGGAAGGAAAACTGGCTGAGAAAATGCCTGAGGCAGTGTTCTCTTTAAGCTCTGAGTGTTTGGGGGTCCATGTTCATTCTCCATCATTACAGAGCATTCTTTAAGGCAGATAATGAAGGTAACACATGGCAGAGAGTGGGTACAATGGAAAAAAACACTCAAAGTTGGGGTCAGTGTTGTTTTTGTCTCCTTACTATGTGACTTTGAGTCATATCACCTCTCTGGCTTTAATTCCCTTACTAGTAAACTGGGCATACAAATCTTATTCCACATACCTGCATCAGGTGATTTTGAGATTGCAATGGACATAGATATTTTTCATAACTGATGAGGCCAGTTTGTGGGGGCAGGGCTGCCAGGTGGCACAGGATCAAAACTGGTATGTGCTGGGGTCCAATTTCTCCCAATCTTTATCCCAGAGTAACGTACTCATGACTGCTCCAGGTCCTCTTCCCACCTCCTACCCTATGCTACCACCTGCTTGTCTAGCTTGCAGCTCATCCACACCTCACAACCCCAGCCCCTCTGCGCATAGACATATAGTCTCAGACTCCAACACGTGTGCGCCTGTACACACAACAGGGCTTCCCAACAGGCATGCCTGCACACTCGAGTGTGCCTGGAACGGATTAGAGTCCCAAGACTGGCTCCTTGGCTTTCTGTTTGGCTGGTTGCAACCTGGGATAGCCAGAGTACTCCAGCCAGTTCTAGGAGTATTGTGAGCAGCCTCACCACACACCCCCATATGCCATGAAAACATAATTTTCCACGTTCTGTGACTTGAAAAATTTTGGCAATCACTGACATACATATAGAATTCACAATGTCCACTAAGTAAATACACATGCCTTGGGAAATTTTCTTCATTTGTGAAATGAAAATAATAAAACCTATTTTTGTAGGATTACTGTGAAGATTAAATGAGATAATTCTATGTCAAGCACTTAGAGGCTGTCCTGCACTTACTATGTGCTTGAATGGAAGCTGTTATTAATACATGACATCAGGGGTTCTTAGGAATCATGGACGGACCTTGATGGATGGCATACCCCTTAAAATTATATGTACAGTTGTGTGTCTATACACCCGAACTCTGGGGAGAGAGTCCATAGTTTTAATTAGACTCTTCAACAGTGAGAACACAATCGTTCATTCACACGTCTAAAAGCATTCACATACTAATAAATGCACACATACACAAACACATATATGTACACATGAGGTATACATTCACAGACCACTTTTCCTTCTGTCTCCGTACCAGTTCATTGCCATTACCAATTTTGGGTCAGAAGGATAGTAAGGCAGGCACAGTCTTGGGCCCTCCTAGGTTGTGGTGCCAATAGCCTGAGGTGAGGGTATCTGCCTGAGAGCCAGGCTGTCCCTCTCCCACCGGGTTGCACCACCTCCCCCTCTCCTCCCCTGGAATGCCCCTTGATGGGCTCTGACGCCTACCAGCATAGCCACCATTACCTTCCCTAGAGTCCGAGGCCTACTGGACCTGTCCCGTCATTTCCTGGTATTTCCTCGTCACCTCCTGGGCTCTCAGGGTGAGGTGGGTGAGGATGTGATGAAGGCTGGAGAAGTGCAGGTGGAACTGGGCTTCCAGGTCCAGCTCCCCTGAGGCCCTCCCATCCTCTGCCTCCTCTGTCTCTGCAGCTTCATTCTCGGCCTCGTCAGCTTCGCTGCCTGCCATCTTGGCCTGGCACTCCTCCCGCAGCAGCAGCCCGTGGTCCACATCCACGCGGATGGTCTTGAGCATAGTGAAGTAGGTGTAGAGATCGGGGGCCCCGGCCTGGCCCTGGCCCTGGCCCCCGTGGTTGCCCAGCTGCACGTCCCGCAGAAGGCTAGGGATCATCACCACCTGCTCCATGTTGCGAACCTCGGCCGAGTACCGGTCCATGACGGTCAGCAGGCAGTTCTTGGGGTAGCGCTTGGTTAGCACCTGCATGGTTGCTTTGTCTCACACTCTGAGTCCAGCAGACTGCCCCAGCACTATATCTAAGCTCTGGATCTGACGGCAGATTGACAGGATGCCAAGGCCCAGCTGTTGGGTCAACACAGCCCCGTTTTAGGCCAATCCCAGGGCTGAGGCCCCAGGGTCTGTATCAGGTGATCTATCCGCCCAGGGACAGACCTGCCAGCCTTCTGCTTGTCACTTCAGCTCTACAGACTGCCTCGGCAAGAGCCTGGCTCTTCCATCAGCAGCTGCTAGACCAGTTGGAAGGAAGCTTTTCCCTTTGGCAACTGGTACATTTGACCCCAGGCAATAAATAATTCTTGCAGGTCACTTGAGACCAAGTTTCCTCTTTGCTGCCTACTTAGCATAGCTTCCTAATGCACAGCTCGCTTCTTCACCCTGGGATGCCTCAGCTGTGAAATGAACAAGGGAAGAGGGTTATGAAATGAAACAGCTTGGTGTGGGCCAAAGAGCACTGAAGTTGGAGCTGGGAGCCCAGTCCTGTAGTTTCCTAGCTGAGGTTTTCAGTTGTTTGCTGGCTAACAGTTATTGCAGCAGGTTCTGCACTGAAGCTTTTTTACAAGTGATCTCGTTTAATCTTCACCACAACCCTGCATAAATGTTTTAATATCCCTGTTTTACCAATGAAGAAGCTGAGGTCCAGACAGCTAAAGGAACTTGCCTGAGGTCCCACTGGAGCTGAGATTCCAGCCCAGGATCACCTCTATCCCACCTCCAGGCAGTGTGCTGGACTGACCTGTGAGATTACTTAAGTCATACAAGTCAACAGGATCATATCCTCTGTAAATGTGAGGTGGTGTTGTAAGACTCGAATAAGACAAAGCCAATAAAAATGCTTTATATCAGTCCAGACAAGCAATTGAGGCAAAAAAAAAAAAAAGAAAGAAAGAAAAAAAAAGTACTTTGTAAATCACAAAGCACAATCCCCAGATATATCATCTGTGTGGATTCTAGATTATTGTTAAAACCCCTCCCAACTCTAACTGGTAATTCCCCAATTACAGTGCTTCCACTTTGCCATAGACCTTTTCCTTTGACCAGCAATCTTGGAAGAAAATAATTCTTTGCATAGCCATACTGTCACGGTTTACAAACTGCATTTGCTATATTTATGATGAGATATTTAAGCAAATTAAGGCCCATGGAGAGGCCCAAAGTTACACAAGTTAGTGGCAGAGAATAAGTGGAGAATAAGACCGTCTGAGTTCTGGTTCAGGCACCTGTTCTCAACACTGTCCCTGGTAAAACGACCTGCCAGGTGATGATACTTCCCACCCTGGCAGGGTAGGAGAGAAAAGGAGTGGAGCACAGGGAGGGGAAGGGGCTGAACAGGACCTCAGTGTGTCTCACCTAAGCCACCCACACCTGCATTGCAGGGCGGGAGCCCTCTCTGCACCCTGTCAACTGACAATCATTCGCTCCCTCACTCTCGCCCACTCCTATGGCCAGAGCTCCGAGAAGGCTCATCCTATTCACCTAGAACTGAATTCTAGCTCCCTATAATCCCTCCTTGTTAAATTATAACAGTCACCCCACCCAAAGTTACTGGGCTTAACTATGGTTATACGTAGTGTGCAAAGGCATTTTCCATCCTTTAACTCATCCAATCCCCGCAAGAGCCCGATGTGGCAGAAAAAATTAGTATCCCCTTGCAGATGAAACTGAGACTCAGAAAGGAAGAGACACTTGCCCAAGGTTTCACAGCTCAGATATAACAGGACGATATAACCCATCTCTGTCAAGCCTCAGAGGAAAGGGGCGATCGTCCCTTTCTCCTCTTCTTGGTGGGCTGGCTGTGCACACAGCCACAGGTGGCCTGAGGTCATCCTGTGTTGCACTGATGGCCTAGCTTCTCCAGGGCAGAGGAGGCAGCCAAATCTAGGCATGAGCCTGCTGCAAAGGGCAAAGCTTCCACTTTAACCCTTTCTGTACTGTAGGTTGTGGAGTGAAACAGAGAGCACAGACCTCTCTGAGCCTCGGCTTCCTTGTATGTTGTAATAATGATCAGAACAACATTAATTGAGGAGTTGCTATTCTAAGCTAAACTAACATATGCAAAGTTCTTGGACTAAAACTCAATCCTCCCAACAATCCTATGTGGCAGGCTGTCCCCATTTACAGATGAGGAATTTGAGGGCTAAGAAGGGTAAGTAATAAGCAGAAGAGTACACGTTATTTGTTCTTGGGCAAGAAGGAGTTGGGATGTGTCGTAACACCTACCTGCAGGTAGGTACAGGGTTAGAGATGGTGTTTGTGAAATCTCCAGTATACTGCAGAACCTCGTTAAGTCTGCACTGCCTTCTAGCCACCTCCACTCTCCTACTCCGTGCTCCCTCGATCCCTCGTGTATTTCTCCACGCTAACACTTGCCCCTCTACATCTTAGTTCATTTTATACCTGTCCCAGGGCCACTGCAAATGCTCAGTAAATGTTGGTTGAACCACGACCATTAGATTCACTTCCTGGTACATTCTAGGGTCTCTGGTTATAATGTCCAGTGACCTTGAAAAATAGGCTCCCTGGCTTGGTGGGAGGCAGTAGTGAGCCCTCTGGCGTGGCAAAGGAGCCCAAGTGGCTGAGCCACATGCAGCCACCCAGGACCTGAATATAATGGCAGGTGCTCAAAAATACCTCATGGGCCCGGCTATGAAAAGGTGAGGTTCTTTCCCAGAAATATTCTTCGGGAAAGAAGCGATCGTGCCATCATCATGTCCTGACTGTCTATATTACACAGGGTGCATTTCCTCCACTTTGCTATGAACGAAACCCTTAGCAGAATGTACTGGGCCAATGTTACCTCAACCAGTCAGCAAGGTAAAGAATTTGCAAACAAATTATTTCCTAAACTATGAGTAGATAATAGCTATTTTTTCTA